AATTGAACCCAGGACCCCATCCAATTCCCTAGCAGGGTTTGGATTCTGGAAAGAGAGAGGCTCCTTCATTATTTTTGCTTTGGTTGTTTTTGGACCCCAACCTCTCTCCCGCCTCCCCCCCCCCCCCCCAAAACCTTCCATCACAAGCAAAGAAATACATCACATACATTCACAAAACCAATTACACCAGCATAGACCCCAGATAGCACACCACGGCTACGAACCATGACGCAGCATCATAATGGTTCCCGCGGCATGATAATGATGATGTTGACAGCATCTTGATGATGTTGACTGCATCATGAAAATACCACAGCTACTGACAGCATTGTGCGCTACATAGACGCGCAGGCAACGCCCTAGTGAGTCCGTCAGCAAAACAATGATGTGGACAGGATGATGCTGATACACCAGCCACAAACGATTCCGCGCTACATATCTAGCAAAAGAAAGGCAGAGACGACGTCCTGATGAGTTCGACAGCATCATGACGATGCGGACAGCATCATGATGATGCTCACAGCATCATGGTGATGGCAAAGGCAGCATCTTGATCATACCACAGCCACGAATCATCTTGCGACAGTGTAATGAAATTCAGCATCATCCTGATGTTGACAGCACTATGCCCGCCACCACACCCACGAACCATAACGCGGCGCCGCAGCGATTGCAGCAGCATCATAACGTGGTTGACAACATCATGATGATACACCAGCCACGAACCATTACGCGCGACAGTTAGAGCAGCAACAACGTCCGAATCGGTTCAACAGCATCATGATGCTGCTGACAGCATCATGATGCTGCGGCCAGCATCATGATGATGCGACAACCACGATACCCCAAACAGCACCCGCCCTAGCACCCTGCCATCCATCACCAACACCCGAAAACAGCAGCCCCAATAGCACCCCAACGCAGCAGCCCCAATAGCACCGCAACGCAGCACCCGCGCCAGCGCCGGACACGTCCCCGAGCACCCTGCCGTCACGTACGGTCACCAGCACCTGAACCTGAACCGAACAGCACCCAAAACCGCACCTGCGCCAGCTCGATCTTGCAAAACAATTTCCCTTCTTCATTAAAAGTCTATAGTTTCCAGCTATCTGGGAAATAAGCCCACGCGGTCGGCTGCACCTTCAACAGCAACACAAAACAGCACCTGCACCACCACCCCAAACTGCATGCCCCCCAGCACCCGCCGGCAATCTCCGAAAATTGCGCCCACAACGTCAGCAGTACCTCAAGCAGCACCCCAAACAGTACCCCAAAACAGCTGCATCAGCTCCCCAAACTGCATGCGGCCATCAATCTTGCAAGAATGCGCCTGCACCATCACCAGCACCTCAAACAGCACCCCAAACTGAGTGCCCCCCCGCTGTCCATCAGCGCCCTAAACAGCACAGGCACCAGCACCGTAATCAGCACCGCAAACTGCATGCCCCCTAGCACCCGGCCGTCAGTTTCGCAAAGCGGCACCTCCACCAGCATGCATGCCCCCTAGCACCCGGCCGTCAATCTTGCAAAACAGCACCTCCACCAGCACTCCTAACTACACGGCCCCCTATCTCGCAAAGCGGCACCTCCACCAGCACCCGAAACTGCATGACTAGCGCCTGGCCGTCAATCTCGCAAAGCAGGACCTCCACCAACACTCCAAACTACATGCCCCCACTAGCGCCTGAAACTGCATGCCCCTAGCAACCGCCGTCAATCTCGCAAAGCAGCACCTCCACCAGCACTCCAAACTGCATGCCCCCTAGCACCCGGCCGTCAATCTCGCAAAGCGGCACCTCCACCAGCACCCGAAGCTGCATGCCCTCTAGCACCCGGCCGTCAATCTCGCAAAACAGCACCTCCACCAGCACCCCAAACATCCCCAAACTACATGACCCCTAGCACTTGGCCGTCAATCTTGCAACACAGCACCTCCACCAGCACCCCAAACTGCATGCCCCCTAGCACCCGTCCGTCAATCTCGCAAAAACAGCACCTCCACCAGCACTGCAAACTGCATGCCCCCTAGCACCCGGCCGTCAAGCTCGCAAAGCAGCACCTCCACCAGCACCCCAAACTGCATGCCCCCCAGCACCCGGCCCTCAATCTCGCAAATCACTTTCCCTTCTTTATTAGAAGTTAGAACCCCTATAGCTTTCAGCTATCTGGGGAAAAAAAGAAGTAGGCCTGACGCGACTTCCCCCCCACCCCCCACCCCGGCCTCTGCACTGTGCTCCTTCTTGGGTTTTGGGGTCCCCCCCAACCTCAACCCCAACCTCCCAGAGCCCAACCTCGCAACCACTCACCAACCCTCCCACCCACCCACCAGGTGCACCAGGCCGCCGCCGCCGCCGCGGCGCAGGCGGTCACTGCCAGCCACGAAGAGCAGGCCTGCGCTTCGCTCGCTCGAGTTCGTGGACGATCATCTCATAGATATCTTTGGCGCATGTCGTGGGTCCGGCCTAACAAGAAGATCGGACACATCCAATCCTTGTTGGTGTTTCGCATGATTTTCCCTAACCAGCCACAACTTCGGCGCATGTTGCTTGGATGTTCGGACTTCAACTTTTTGCACACTGTTTGGGGTTTTCCGTATTAAACCACTAAAAGTTAAACAATGTAGAAAGCAGGCGAGAGATGTCTTGACGAGCATTCCCTTGGTCCAGACCTAAGTAGCGAGACTTGGTTTTACTCCTTGGATATTTCCCAGGCTGTGGTTCCCACGATCAAGGTGTTCCATTGCTAGTCAACCAGGTATTTGTTCCTAATCCTGAGGTGTCCGGGTTGTGGGTCGGAACCCCAAAACTGTCGTTTTCCTGTTGGGTTGCCTTGAACACCGCAAAGCATGGCGTATCCTCGAAAAAAGACACCCATATGAGTTCCCCAATTCGGATGCGAATCCGAATCGTTGCGGATGCGACAGCGGGCCGCTTTGATACGACACTTGCGCCTCCACTTCCCGGACAGGAGAAAGAGGCGGTTTCATTCGGAACCGGTGAATTGGATTTGGGTGGCCTACTAGACTGCCTTTCTGGAAACCTGTATGCTCCTCCCGAACCGTTGCGCAAAACATATGGCATGAGAGTGGGCCAGCTGAACAGAAAGTTGCAGCGAGTCTTGTGGCAGGTGCTTGCTGCCAATGCCTTCGCATCTGCATCCAGTCTCTTGCAGCAGAAGGAGCTGAAGGGAATGGATGAATCCCTAAGTGCGAAGTAGATGATCTCCGTCCATGAAGAATGGTTCGCCTAAAGGAGAGCTGGCCTTTTAAGGGGGTCCCCCCATATGGCGACGAAACTTCAGGGCCGGATTCGCAGCCCAAAAGTTGGACATCAGTCACCACCTAGATGATGTCCACCAGTTGGTTCCTATTTCACACACACACACACACATGGGAGTTGATCAAAGGCCCTTTCCACGGGATGACCATTGGCTGGCAAACCACTCAACAGCTCAACAGATGATGTTTCCCACATGTGAAAAGTTAGCCATGGACATTTGGGACCCTAAATGGATTATTGACCAACCCCCATATGGGGTAATGTGGACGGGACATGCAAGGAACCCGACATTTGCCATTTTGACGGGTGACCTCTTCCTTATCGGAAGTCGTCTCCCCCTGTGAATGAATTTCTCCTGTAAATACCAACGAGCGGTTTGGTTTCCCATGGTTTCAATCTGGTGCGAAGTGAAAAATGATATTGATCTAGCTTCCAACGAGGGAACCGCCACAAGGCTTGCACAGCTTGCTTTTCAGCGCAAAGGACATGTGTCCAAAGTCGTTTCGTATCTTTCTGGCTCAACCAAAACATGGTTGGAAACATTTCACATTTTTGCTTATTGTGGTTTAGTGGGAAATCCCCACTTAGCCGCTAAAAAAACATTTTTTTGCTCCCCTTCCAACGTCACCCAAGAAAAAAAATGGGGTGCCCTTGCTTTCCCATGGAAATCCACTGGGCATCTGCTGGAAAATTTTGAGCCGCCCGCGCAGCCTGCGCGCGAAACCGAAGCGCCAGGACGCGGGGGCCAGCGCCGAGCTGCCCAGCGCCGGCAGCTCCGGGCACCAAGCGGGCCAGTGCAGGCGGGGTTGGGCGAGGGGAGGGGTTGGAGCGGCTCTTTCGGCCCGGGGGGGCTTTCGGGCGGCTTCTGTGTGTGGGTGGTCGTGTTTTTTTTTGGGGGGGAAGAGGAGGGTTTTCGTTTTGATGATTTTTCCGCGGGGGGGGGGACTCCTTGGCTGTGAGTCGGTATGGGCTCGTGTTTTGGTTGAGGCTTGGTACCCGTATAGGTTGGTTTCAAAGGAACCTAAAAGGAAAAGCGAAAAATCGCTTTAATCGGATGTCCGAAGCCATGTTCAATGACACACACCCACACGTTGTGAACATGCCTAAACAAATGACCGACCATTGAGAGTTTGGGGTGGAGATTTCTGGGGGAGAAAGCAACAGTTGCTTTCTTCTTTGAGGGAACCACCCAAGCAACGAAGGCTAGAGTCACCATATGGGCCTCTGCTCTTTTCGGCTACCCTTGTTGGGGTTGGTGTTAGAGGGAAATTGAGACCAAGGAAAAACCACCCAGGTTTGAGGGCCTCCATTTAGTCACACAGCAATGGTCTTTTTGGACGGCACTTGCCCTCTGCCGAAAAGAAGCCGAAGGCTGCTAGAACCCGTGTAGGCCAATGGCCAAGGCTAGATGCGAAACCCATGCCACACGCAAGGCGAAAGTCCTAAGACGTAAGCCCAGTTGGCCAAAGGCGGCGGTTGGGCCAAAGAAGAAGACAGGCAACCCCAGTAATCAGTGCCCTTTTACCGCTTCTTTTTTTTGGGGGAGGGGAAACCCCTACTAAAAGAGACAGCAGAAAAACAAATCGGGTACCCTTATTCTAACCTCTCAAACCTGGTGGACCTAGAGGAAAGATGTTGGCCTCCGGGTTCAGCAACTCGAGGCCTTGTGCTTTCTGGACCACGAAGGCGGGCCGCTTTGCTCGCCGCAACCATGATGGTTGTCTTTGATAAGGGGACCCAAACACGGATTTCGGGTGGCCCTTTGGCTTCGATTGAACACCTTGAACACAAGAAGCGACCCTGAAAAGCGCCACACCCAAGTTGTCTTTTCTCAGAATGGCGGACTCCATTTTTGTGTATGAGGGAAACCAACCGGAAGCAGCCCGCGTTTTTTTTTTTTGCCCCCCTGGGCCCGCTGTGTTGCTGCGGGCCAGAAGGAAGCCCACCTTTTGGACACGAAAACGGGCATGAGACGACTCCATGCCCAAAGCAATCGAGTCATAGAACGAAATGTTTCCCATCGGCCCCAGATGTGGCCGGTATTTTTCCTCGAAATGCGGCCAGCGGCCTGATTCTTGAGAGAACAACTTGGGTCCCAAGCTAAACTTGCCCAACAGGGGTCCGACTCGGGCATATGGGACATAGGCAAATTGGGTCCGAAAGCATCCCAGCTGGTTTAGTGGCTGTTAATATAGGCTGCTGGATACCTAGACAACAAGCTTCGTGCCTGGACTAGGATTTGCATGCCTTTTTCACACCAAGCCCCAAACCATCAGTTTCCAGTGTGAGTCAACACTATTAGTCATGGGGGTCTTGCCTAAGATAGAGTTGGGGTTCTTTTGGCTTCTGAAATTATAGCCACCATCCACCGCGCGTCCTCTGTTTGACATAGGAATTTCCCGTGGGTCCCACAAAATTAAAGGACCGGATAACCCCACATGCTATGTTTTTCCCAAGGATGTGAGTTCAAATGTCCACACACATGTACCGTGCGCCCCTTGTATGGATGCGATTACAGAGCACCCAGATGCACAGAATGCAGCGCCTGCCACGACTTCGGCAACGGCATCGCCAAAGTGCTGCGCCTGCCACGATTTCGCAACGGCATCGCCAAAGTGCTGCGCCTGCCACGATTTCGCACACCCCCCGCCGCGCGCGCGACAACATCCTGTCCCTCTAGACAGCTGCCGAATGCGACCCCTGCCACACAAACACACACCCAGATGCACAGAATGCTGCGCCTGCCACGACTTCGGCAACGGCATCGCCAAAGTGCTGCGCCTGCCACGATTTCGCAACGGCATCGCCAAAGTGCTGCGCCTGCCACGATTTCGCACACCCCCCGCCGCGCGCGCGACAACATCCTGTCCCTCTAGACAGCTGCCGAATGCGACCCCTGCCACACAAACACACACCCAGATGCACAGAATGCTGCGCCTGCCACGACTTCGGCAACGGCATCGCCAAAGTGCTGCGCCTGCCACGATTTCGCAACGGCATCGCCAAAGTGCTGCGCCTGCCACGATTTCGCACACCCCCCGCCGCGCGCGCGACAACATCCTGTCCCTCTAGACAGCTGCCGAATGCGACCCCTGCCACACAAACACACACCCAGATGCACAGAATGCTGCGCCTGCCACGACTTCGGCAACGGCATCGCCAAAGTGCTGCGCCTGCCACGATTTCGCAACGGCATCGCCAAAGTGCTGCGCCTGCCACGATTTCGCACGCCCCCCGCCGCGCGCGCGACAACATCCTGTCCCTCTAGACAGCTGCCGAATGCGACCCCTGCCACACAAACACACACCCAGATGCACAGAATGCTGCGCCTGCCACGACTTCGGCAACGGCATCGCCAAAGTGCTGCGCCTGCCACGATTTCGCAACGGCATCGCCAAAGTGCTGCGCCTGCCACGATTTCGCACGCCCCCCGCCGCGCGCGCGACAACATCCTGTCCCTCTAGACAGCTGCCGAATGCGACCCCTGCCACACAAACACACACCCAGATGCACAGAATGCTGCGCCTGCCACGACTTCGGCAACGGCATCGCCAAAGTGCTGCGCCTGCCACGATTTCGCAACGGCATCGCCAAAGTGCTGCGCCTGCCACGATTTCGCACACCCCCCGCCGCGCGCGCGACAACATCCTGTCCCTCTAGACAGCTGCCGAATGCGACCCCTGCCACACAAACACACACCCAGATGCACAGAATGCTGCGCCTGCCACGACTTCGGCAACGGCATCGCCAAAGTGCTGCGCCTGCCACGATTTCGCAACGGCATCGCCAAAGTGCTGCGCCTGCCACGATTTCGCACACCCCCCGCCGCGCGCGCGACAACATCCTGTCCCTCTAGACAGCTGCCGAAATGCGACCCCTGCCACACAAACACACACCCAGATGCACAGAATGCTGCGCCTGCCACGACTTCGGCAACGGCATCGCCAAAGTGCTGCGCCTGCCACAATTTCGCAACGGCATCGCCAAAGTGCTGCGCCTGCCACGATTTCGCACACCCCCCGCCGCGCGCGCGACAACATCCTGTCCCTCTAGACAGCTGCCGAATGCGACCCCTGCCACACAAACACACACCCAGATGCACAGAATGCTGCGCCTGCCACGACTTCGGCAACGGCATCGCCAAAGTGCTGCGCCTGCCACGATTTCGCAACGGCATCGCCAAAGTGCTGCGCCTGCCACGATTTCGCACGCCCCCCGCCGCGCGCGCGACAACATCCTGTCCCTCTAGACAGCTGCCGTGAGTCAGCGAGTGTGAGTGAGTGAGTGAGCGAGTGAATGAGAGTGAGTGTGAGTGAGTGAGTGTGAGTGAGCGTGAGTGAGTGAGTGAGTGAGTGTGAGTGAGTGTGAGTGAGTGAGTGTGAGTGAGTGTGAGTGACTGAGTGTGAGTGAGTGAGTGTGAGTGAGTGTGAGTGAGTGTGAGTGACTGAGTGTGAGTGAGTGAGTGTGAGTGAGTGAGTGTGAGTTGAGTGAGTGTAAGTGAGTGAGTGAGAGTGAGTGAGTGAGTGAGTGAGTGAGTGAGTGAGTGAGACGGAGACGAGCGGGAGAAGGAGAAGGAGACGCGGCGCGCGGACGACGAGCGGAAAAAGTAAGAACCCCACACAAAGATGTGGGGAACAAACATACGTTCTGTCTACAACTAACATGGTCTCCGTTTGAAACAAAAGCAAAGAAGCTCGTCGTTAAGCGATCTAACTGAAAGAAAGCAGGATTCAATTTGAAACAAAGAATCAGGCAAGCCGGAGTTGGTTTCAGGTTCCAAGACTTCCAAGCCGGGCTCCAAGCCACCAACTTTGCGAGGGAAGTCTCGACAGGTTTGCATCTCCGCTAATTTGGGCTCGTATCTTTTTTTTGGAGTGGGTACCTTTTTTGCGGTATGAGACACCAAGTGCATTTTCTGGGGCCCAAATCCTAAAAGCAGGATGAGCGCGTTAGATTCTTTAGAAACATACTGTGGATGGACGGAATCCGTTCGCACCACTTTAAAACCATGGGAAATGATGGTTGGTTGGCATCTACAGGGGAATCGAATCCTTCCAGAGCTTCTTGGGTGGTGCAGGATTTCGTCCATCCACACTGTGGATGGACAAAATCCTGCACCAGTTGGAAACCATGGTCTAAGGATTATTCTACATACCCCGAAATCACATACCCAAAAAAAGTTGACTATATAGTGGTTATATAGGGGTCGTATCACACAGTGTGTCGCAGCCTGCCTGTTTTCACTTGCGCCTGCGCTTGACTCCGGATGATGAGGCTTCGGCCATGGCATCGTCTTGAGCCATGTCCAGCCTCATCTTGACAAATCGATCAGGTTTCACATCGGATGTGTCCAGCAAGGCCACTTTTGGTCTTGCTGGCTCTTTGGCTTTGGCTTTTGCCGCGCTCTTCGTTTTGGCTTTGGGCTTCGGGGCAGTGTCCATCCGAGCCTTCGCCTTGGCCTTGGACTTTGCTGGGACGGTCTCCTGTGGCTCCCGGCCGGAGGCTTTGCCTGCCGGCTTGGGAGCGCCTTTGTCTTCTTCTGAAGACGAACCGTCGTCAGAGGAGTTGCTGCTTGAAGATGATGAAACCATTGTGTGTTTTGATATTTACAGGGGAATCGAAAATCATTCCCTTGGGTTTCTGAACGGTGGCGCGGTGCATGGAGTTCGCAACCATCCACGGTATTATGCACTCGTTCAGGTTTTAGGCCCCCCGGGAGGCGGAGCAGATGCCCTTGCTGCCACAAGGGCAGTGGGAGGCCCGAATTCCCTGAGACTTGGTGCCATGGCAGGACACAACCGAAGGTCTTGGTTAGGAAACCTCGAACTCTGGCTTGGAATCCAATGAAAACACAGGCTGGCACCAAACCACCTGCAACAAGCGGATCTAAATCAGCTGGTACTCAAGCTGCTTTTTTAATGAAACTTAAGAGATATTTTAGTCCCTGGGCCCCTGCAGCTGGCTCTCCACGTGCCAGGGCTGCTCCAGTGGCCAAGACTGTCAGTTCTGCCACCTCTGCGCTCCTGGTGTCTCGGCCACCTATGCGGCCGCCCAGGGGTCCCGAGATTGGGATATTTCTCAAGAGAGCCCCACATATGTCCCTTCAAAACATTAATCCTGCAGGGGAAAGTGTGATGCTTAAAAGCCCAGATTGAGAAATACAGGGGCCCGATTGTTTGGCTCCCGTATATCATTTCAATGGACGCAAGTCTCAGTGCAAATAGCTGGACTCGGCCTTTGAGCCGTTGAAGTAAAGGGGCAAGAGCTGGCCAATAATGGTTTCCTCCCAGGTCTCAAAAGAAGGTCAAAACTGTTGGTTTTCTCGTGGTGTTAAAACGCCAAACGAAGCCGGCGAGCCTCGTTTGCTTCTGGGAGTGGAAGAGAGGAATGCCCAATAAAAAGGGTGCTCTTTGTAAAAGCCAATGGTCAACTTGATCTCACTCCCTGAGTTCCTTGGGAGGACTGTCATAGCGGCAAACAAGACATCGAATTTTTGTGCCAGTCCGCTCAGGATGTCAAATCTTGTGGTTTCGCCCTATGAGCGAAATCTTGTTTGGCTTCCTACACGGACACACCAGAAAGGTCACCCTTCGCACTGGCCGACGTGGGTGTCCAATTTTTGGGGACCCCCACAAGAAAGTGTTACTTTTTGGTTTCCCTTTAAACCGACCCCAAAAGGGTGCCCTCCAAAAAAGAGACACCCATGCTGTACATCAGTTACTCCGTGTACTTGTACTTTCTATAAGTCATTTGAGGCGCTTGCAAGTGATTGGGATATCTTTGGTTCCTTTGAGAGACCCAGCAAAGTTGCCCAATTCACGTCGACACTGCAACTGCGTAGCTGCTCGGCCCTTGAATCGGGAAGTCTTGACCCATTTTCAGAAAATGGATACCCTTTCGAGTCTTCGGGATGGCATCCCACTTTGGTATCACAGCGTGATGGTCCCATTGCAGAGACACTGCAGCTTGCTTGCGAATCCCACTTCGAACTTGCGTTTGGGCCTTGAACCAATGTTTTTGTTGCAACACCAACAAACCTCCGCCGAAGGGAAATATGATCAAAGCTTCCCTCCAGGTCACTCTGAAATTCGGATTGCTCGCATGCTGCAAAGCCAGACACCTGCCTGAGGCGTTTTGGGGACAGGAGTCTGGATTTCCGGGCCCAAACCGCGAAACCAAGTGGTTTGAAGAGTGCCAGGGCTCTCTCGGGCGGCTTCCCTTCTCGGCTCCCTTAGGCGAGAAGAAGCGGCGCCAGAAGGCACCGGAACGACGAAAAACACCTGATTCGGTGTGGATTCGACGCGATCCGGGATCCGGTCTCCTGATTATTATGTTTTTTTTAAGGGGAAACTGGTATGTCTCAAAAAGGCCGGGGGGGGGGGGGGGGGACTTTTCCCAACATGTGTTTTTTCCAAGCAGCGAACCTTGAAGGGTACGGGTTGGATTTTGAACAGTAGGTCGTGACGGTCATCTGTGGCTGTGTTGGGATGTGATACCTTATACCGGTGGTTACAATCTACTTGGTGGGTTCAACATTCACGATGTTGCTTGAGCACATGTGGAAAATCCAAGCGGCTCAAAATGGGAACATGTGGATATCATTGTGAAACTGGATGAAAAGTAAGCTTAGTTGGGAGCTTCTCCTTTCGGCCTCGAAGGCTTCTGTTGCGGGCATCACTTTTTTGAGCAGGGCATTTGTCAAGCAGACAGTTTCCTTGTCGAATCAAAAGGGGGGTTGCAATAAAAATTGGAACCACCGGTTGGTTGCTTCAATTCGGGAATGGGTCATTCCAACTCATTCCCTCTCGAACCAAAGGCGACCTTTGTTTCCATGTCCACAGGCCACTGCGTTGCGTGGGCGATTTTTTTCTCACAAGTCTTGTTGGTCCATTGAAGTGACGGTCCTCCCACAAGCAAAGGACCCCTGTAAGACTGGAAGACCATGTTCCAACAGGGGCTCTTTTTCAAACTTGATCTGTTAATGTGTTCTTCTAGGGATACCAACTGCAAATCGGTGGTTTTTCAACCCCCCGGAGCAACTTTGAGAGCCCCTCGTGCTCAACTTCACCTCGCTGGGTACAGCCCAAGCTTCACTTGTTCCAAAAGGGACAGCAACATGTGATAATTAAATCTGTCCAGACCCGCCGCTCAAGAGGCTGGCACCTGACCCCTTGCACCTGACACCTCGCAGGCGAAGCGCGCGTTCTTCGGCGCGCTCTCCGAAATGCAGCGGTGCTTGTCCCTGGGGGGCGACGCGCCCGCGGTTTGAAGCGACACAAGCCGGGCTCCGATCGAGGGGTGGCGAACTCGGGGTTCCATGCTTGGATGAGTTCAGGGAAAGCTGAAACCCGGTTCCTCTTGGGCAAATCAACCACTTAGGTTTGAGGTTTTTGTCACTCAAACAAAAATTGGAATGGGCGAGCTTGGTGGAAGCAAACGGGTCATGGGATCTCTTGAGGGAAACAAGCACCTTGCGCAAGGTTGCTCCGGGCCTTAACATGTGATCACAGCCCAAGGGTAGAATTTCCGTCATCTTGCCTTTGGAAAAGACTCTTGAGGGTTGCCATGCCCATGTGACAGGCCCATGTGCCGGAGGTTCAGACAAGCATCTTGGGAAAGGCAACCCATGGTCTTGTCGCCCTTGAGACGACAGGGTAACAGAGCCCTTCCCTGGGTGTATTTGGACCCCCCCAAAATGGTGGTCTCCTATGAATTCCCCTTGAAAACCACCAAAAAGGGGTCCCCCCTCCCCAAAAAGAAGCAGAAACCCATATGCGTTTTGGCGTGCTCTTGTGGTCTAGGATGTGGGATCCGACGTCTTAAGTAGGTTCCGCCACCCCGATGGAGCCGTCGCAGTGCCAGGAGCGAGAAGAAAGACTCCGGTTTGCAAAAATCGAATGGGCGGTTTGGTAACATGCTATAGATAAACGCGCTTTAAAACCATGGGAAGCTATTCTTTGTTGGCATTTACATTCCAGCTTGGTGACATATATTACTTCTCCCTTGACTAAAGTAAAGACAGGATGGTTTGGTAGCATCTTACATCTCCTCAAGTGATGAAAGGGAACATGTTGAATTCCTTAGGGTTAACATGATAAAGGCTCCTTCCTTATGGGTCTTGTTGAAGGGCAATTCATCTGGAAATTTTGCATTTTGCGGGTGGCTCGGATCAAAGCACGCAACAAACACAGAAAAATGCCCCTAGACGGTTTTTCGATTTTTAGAGCTTGAAGCGATTCATGACATATCCCACTCGCATTTTCACCTGTAGCCCAGGAGCAACGAACCACTGAACAATTGTACGCGCACATGGCGTGAACGCGACAAATTGGAAGCTTTGCACATATGAAGACGTGTGGGCACCCTTGGGGGCAAGTGAAGGTCACTTGGGATTTGTCTGACATTCAGCATTTGGGGGGAATAGGATACTTCCATTTTCTAAAAGAAACCATGGACCACACGTTTTTGAGAGCGCTTCTTCACTTTGCCTGGATCCAGTTTACGGTGTTTTTTGTTTTTTACCTTCCAGCAGGGGTTCTCGATGGACGGGCTTACCCAGGGAGGTTCTACATGGCTTTCTTGGAGCAAACTGGAAATGTTGGGTTCCTTGGTGCAGTTTTGATGCTTCGTGCATCTCAAGTTGGCACAAACCCGTTGGGTCGCCCCTGCCATCTTCTCGACAACCGTGGGTATGTGGCTTTGTCCCTGCGGACACCCCCTCTTCCCCCGAAAGAAAATATGCGCGCTTGGCTCAGGCAAGGTAAGGCAGTTGTACAGCCTCAAACCATCAGACGCCAGACGCGTTTTCGACGGAAGCTACGTTGGGGTTTTGAACCGGACCTAGAGCTCCTGGAGAGAAGAACCCGAGAGAGATAGAGAAGGGTTGCTCCTGATAAGACCCCATTTGTCCAAATGGGTTTGTCTCAGGCTTCGGACGCCGAAAATGGATCTCGGTTTTCCTTTTGGTTTCCCTTGAAAACCAGAAACGAAGAGGTATACCCTCAAGCAAAGATCCACATCCAAATCCCAAGCAAAGATTGTGGTCAACGCTTTTTGGGAACGCCATGGTCAATTGATTGGTTTAGACGTTTAGACTCACTGGTGGGTCGACACGGGAGCAACCCGGCAAGTAGGCCCGCGTAAAATTAGGGTCACCCGCAGGGCATGGAATGAGATCGATCGGATCCCCCGAAGTTCCGGGGATTGGTCGAGCCGGAACCGAAGGTCAGCAAGTACTCCTGAGCAAATCGATCTTGAAACCTTTTGTCGCCAAACCACACGGTCAGGGGACCCTGAGTTGGTTTGGAGTTGGATTTGAACCCCTTCCTTTTTGGCAAATCGAACACCACGCGACCTCCACACCTCCAAACTGGGCTTCAAGCCACCAAATTGGGCTTGGAACCCCAGATCCAGCCATTTCGACCAGCCTCTCTGATTTTATTCTGGTTTCTCCACGGCCGTCCATTCTTCGACGTATGGTTTTGATTCCGTCCCCGAGTACTTGAGGGGTCAAAAAGGGGAGTCGCAACTCACAAGCGTCCATTTGCGCAGAGTATGCTTAACATTCCCTTGTTGGTTTTAAAGGGAATCTATCACTACTGGACATGTGTTCTCATTTTTTCCAGGGGCGAAACCGCAAATGGAAGCAAGGTACTTGGATCTCGGGACTCGTGGAAGCGCCGCATCCGCCCCATGTGGTTTGAACCCACACAGAGGACTCACCTTTTTCGGTGGAAACCCACGTTGGGCCATTTTGGCAGATTCTACCTGGTTTAGCTGGGTAAAGCCTATGTAAACCTGAACCACCTTAGAAAGACAAGTCCAAATGGGTTTTGGGATTTGCTCAAGTTTCTTGGGTACCCTGACTACCCAGTGTGTGTGTGCGTGTGTGTGTGTGTGTGTGTGTGTGTGTGTGTGTGTGTGTGTGTGTGTGTGGAGCTGAACTTGTAACAGGACGCCAAAAGGAGGCCACGCCTCACCCCCAATTGTTCTCTGTAAGCTTCCCGAACGGTTTAATTGTAAGCGGGATTACCAATCACGTAGAATATTGCCTTTGTCAAAGATTACCTTTGTGTTTGTGGGAACGGATGATCGTTATTCTGGCACCTCTGAAATGAATCCTGTCCAGTTGCAGGTTCACAATGCGATGTTCAGTTGAATGCTTTCCAATCTGAGCAATCTACTTGTTGCACGGACTGACCTTTGCCATGCCGCAGAGTGGGAGTCAGCCAGCACCGGGTAGGAAGGACGCCGAGCGTATCCGTATCCCTGGGGCGCGCGGAGGGCTTGCTGTTCAAGCCAGATGGGCGAGCTGGCTTGCAAGCAAGCAACCGCATAAAGGGTGGCACGTAGTAAGTGGTTGGTGACCATGGTTATAATCTACTGAAGGAACTTACAATGGCTCTGGGTTGTAACCATGATTACCAACCACATACCTGATGTGCCCTGGCCCTTTAAGCAGTGTCTTCCCGATGCGATGGCCAGTTTTTGACCCTCGCCAGCTTCTGAGCGAGTCACGAAGCAAGTGCAAAGAGCATCGAGTCTGCAGTGGCGAGGGTTGCTCCCAGTTCCGGTATCTGGACCGCGTCCAGTGCAAGTGCATGTGCTAACCTGGATCCCGAGACATCACATGGGCCTGGCGCCACAGAAACTTGAAGAACGGGTCCAACGTATGCGCTGGCATTTTGGTTGGGCAGTTGAGCTTTCAATGGGATCCTGTCCATAGATGGAATTCGTCTCTGAATTGATCCGTGCAGTTGTGGGATAAATAACAACTGATTTTGACCGCAACCAGCCTGTTGCCGTGGCCTACGAGCCGTTGCCGAAATCTTTGGAATTTCTTGGGGTACTATGGGTATTACACGCCCTAAGGTGCATGTATTGAAGTGGCTCATACAAATTTGTGCGGACAAAGCCAACCCTTTGGTCTCGTTTCATATCGTTTCGGCAGCGCGCGCTCGCGGCCGCGGGGGTCCAGTCAAAGCGCGGACACAGGCGAAGCTTTCAATATAGCTGCGTGGCCCAAATGGACTTTGAACCGGATCTTGGGGCATTGGGTAGACAAGCAAGTTCGCCCGGGTCCCTTGTTGGTTTTGGGTGACTCAACAATTGATGGTTCTTTCGAAGGGCCATCACAAAAAGTTCTCAGCTGTCTACTGGGCCCCGTCTAGGACCTGAAGGGCTAGTGACATCTAGTGACCCATTTGGGCCACCGCTTCAGTTTCATCTCGACAGCAACACCGCTGCCTGTAAAGCGATCCGAGCCACGATCAAAACGCAGGTAGATGAATCTGAATACTTCCCGTGAAAAGTAATAGATGCAGCAAGACGCCCTTTGGGCCCTTCTTATGGGTTTTAGAGTTCTAGGTCACCTTAAACTCTGAGCCAGCTACAAGAAATTGTATACGTTAGTCCAACCCTGGTATGAGTGCCCAGTAGTTTCATTTACCTGTGGGTAGTCAAGGATTGTCCGCCCTAAAGCAAGCAAAGTGGCGAATCGTTACGGCTGCGGGGTTCGCCCGGAAGCCACTTGGTTATCGTGCTCCCTTAGAACTTTACGCAAAATCCAGTTTTTGTCCATGCATCATCTGAATGGTCTAACCCAAGCCGCAATCTTCGGCGCATGAAGCGCATGGTCGTGGCTAATTTGTTCAGGGTCGTTCACGTGCCAAGTGACTCCTCCGATTTCGCGCCGGCGGCACATGGCCGAGATACCGTCGCAAAATGAAACGACTGGTTCTCGGTGTGTCTTTGTTTGAGTGGTAATGGAGACGCCTTCTTCCCGATATTCTTACTGATTTGATTTGCAACAGATGAGTGGCACTGGAACTCTGTGTAAATTTCACTTTTGGACACCCAGGTGCTACGTGAATGGGAGCATAAAACCTGCGGTTTCCTGGATTAATGGTCCGGGACCAGGTTCGAGGAAGCCTTTCAAAGGGATCACAACCCGTTTTTCTTGTGCCCGGCACGCAAAAGAGGACACCAAGGACATTGCGGGACATTCTGATGCACTTCCCCCAGTTTCAGGACTTGAACTCGTTTTCAGGTCATAGCAAGTCCGGAGAGTGGTTCTGATTGTTTGTGACAGGCTAAAAAAAGGAATGAAGACTGATAGAAACATGCTACAGATCACCTCTCAAGGTGATCAAAGGTGTAGCTAGATTCCTTTGGTTTGTCAGTCCTGTAGCTTAGGGGATCCCTGGGTTCATTCCCACGACAGGAATAATGCATTTCCGTCCGGGAAGCCAGTAATTTTTACGCCACATGCGAAGTCGGCATTTGGGTGGCGTGTCTTTTTTTGAAGCGTACCCTTTTCGGGGTTGGTTTAAAGGGAAACCAAAAGGAAAACAGAAATCCATTGGGGGTCCCCTAAAAACTGAGGCCCATTTGCTTGATTCGAATTCGAGGGCGCTGAGAAGCTTGGTTGGCATCAATCCCATTGCACAATGGACAGCAGAACCGAGAGGCAGTGTTGCACCATTCCAGGGTACTGAGCCAGATTCGACTCGGCTTTAAGCTTCAGAGTTCTATCCTACCCGCAGGAAGGGTTGGAGCAAAGAAATTCGAAAAGCAAAAGCAACAACCCCCAAAATACAACTCCCAGCAGGCCTTACACAGAAACACACTCAGCTGCAGACTCAGTTTTCCTCCCTCTCCCCCTCCCCCCCTCCCCTGTCCAGTCCACGTTTGCTTCTTTTCTGTTTATTTTCTTTTTGTTTATTGTTTTTTTGTATTTGTTTTTGCTTTGATTGGTATGTGTTTTATTTTTGTTTATGGGTGGTGTTTCCCCCCTTTCCCTTCCTTCCTCTCCCCCCTCCCCCCACCCGCTTGTCCATTTGTTTGTTTGTTTTTGTTATTTTTGTTTTTCTGATGGTTTTCTGATTGTTTCCTGATTTGTTTTCTGTCATTGTTTCCTGATTTGTTTTCTGTCATTGCTTCCGCTTTGTTTTCTGACTTGTTTCTGGGTCATTTTTTTTGGGGGGGGGGTCAGACTTCCAAGCTGTGTTTTCTGTTTTTTCCAGTGTTTTTGTTTAACACTGATTCTGGACCTCTCCATCGAAACAGAACTCTCAACTTTATAGAAGCTTAAAGGGCGGGGGCTAAGCAAAAAGGAGCCGACCTTTCTTTGGGTTGCTTGGGAAGACCCGCTTGGGTGCTTGTTTGGGATGTTCAAGGGGGGGGCGGGGCTGTAACACCAAGTTGGACCTCTGAAGTGAGAAACTAGGGCTTTGTTAGTATCACAGAACCGGGGAGTGGAGTTTTCGAAGAACCTCACCGAGCATGGGACTTGCGTGTGTCCTCAAAAACGCAGGGGACCCGTGTTCGGCGGGTCAAAGGACAATTTGTAGGCCAAGCATTTGCAGTCTGGGGCAAATTGTAAGGTCCAATGAAAGTGCACGTCTGACTCACCAGGTGCGTTCCTCTTGCCGACTCCAGCCCCTTTCTACGGCTCACCAAGCCGCAGACTTCTTTAGACTTTGAGTGTGGCAAAGAAACTCGTCTTTGGGGACTTCAGGTGAACGCGCGGACCACCACTTCAAAGGCGCAGATCCCAAAAACACGCGCGCCAGAAGAATTCGCATCTTTTTGTTTGATCTCAGATTTACTAGCTCGGATCCCTTGTTTGTTTCTTCTCGGTTGAGCGCAGGGGAACTCGCCGGCATCGGCTCAGAGCCGTCCCGAATCCGGTCGGCCATGAAGGGACCCTCTCGGACGGGCCGACAAGGCCGGGGGCCGACAGGCAAAACGGGGTGGTCTCAAAAGCAACAGGAAAAACCACTATGTTTTGTAAAAGAAATGGCCTGTTCGAGCGCAGCCAAATGGAGGGCGGGGTCGCTGTATGCATGACTTGCGTTGGCCTCTCGTTTCTATGCTCCCCTTTCTATGCGACTTTTTCCATCAGACCCAAAGGAAAGGATTGTTTTTTAGGTGTTCAGTTTGATGTTTTAGAAAGCCATCCCCTTTGGTCTGGTTTAGTCGCGCAAAAACAACAACAACAGGAACTCCCTTGTATCGAACGGAACTACGCTTTTGAAACAGGATACAATCAGTTGGAGCCCAAACCAGCAGCTGGTTTGATAATGTATACGGAAATTATATGACTATCACTGATTGGGAAGCGGGTTTCACCCTAGCTCCCTTGAAAACAATCATTAACCTCTCGAGAGAGAGGATTCCATATTGAAGAGGATTTCGGGGTTTCAGTATGATGGTCTGTCCTTTGAGGCGAAGGGTCGCACTGTTGGCTCAAGGGACGAAAGGAAACTGTTATCATGTCGTATATTATGAGACATTTTCACATACCATGATTTGTCAAGAGAAAAAGTATTTGGGTCCATTTTCCCTGGTTTGAGACAAGCAATGTATTGTTGTCAACGGCGCTCAAAAGATAAACCCAAGTCAATTAAACATCCCGCGAGTGTCGCGTAAGGGGGTGCAACATCCGCACTGAGTTTGATCCACCGAGATGCTTAAGGGATTCTGCATAATTTCTGGCGAGCTCCTCGATTCGGGGCAAAGCCAGGGAAAACCCACGAAGGTCCTTGAATTGAGGATAATCATTTCGGGACCCCTTATTTCAGGTTTTGAACATTTCAACCAATTTCAGATACTTGAGGTTTAGTCGACATGTCTGGTCTATGGTTTTTTCGGGGTTCGGGGCCTGGGGGAGACCTCAAAAGTTCCAAAACTAGGGGACATACCCATTTGTTCCTATGTCCTTTTGGGGAACAAGTAGTTTTGACCAATCACATATTGGCCATGTTGAGATTCATACATACCAGAGGATACAAGTGATGGGATGTATCTTTTTGGGAACTCGGAGTAGACCCATCTTTCTCGGGGAGTCGCTGGTTCTCCTGAGAACCCTTAGATCTAAATGCTGGGGAACTTCGAGCAAAAGCCGCCCCGAAGCCTGAAAGCTGCTCGAAAAAACCCACCCACCCAAAATGAGAACCCGCGGATGTCCGCCGGAGTTTTTCGTGTCGGTCCGACTGGAGGTGCCGTTCGGAGGGAGCAGTCGAAGGCCTGGCTCAATTCGCCAGGTGTGGGGGATATCCAGTACCCTGTGCCGCTCTTTGTCCATAACACCTTCATCGAGGCGCGCGCGCTCGGAGCATCTCTCCGGGGAGTTTCCATTGAACAGTTATCTGCCTTCGGAGCGCCTAGAAGTGCTAGGCTTTCTTTCACATCCCCCTGGCGAAATCCAGAATCACCCCCCCCCCCATTCCAGAATACCCCAAAGGAACCATGTCCACGTTTCACAGGGTTTTCTTGTGGTTCCGGCTGGGTTCCAATAAAGAATCGCTCGAACTCGGCCCATGGGGTCGCGTCTTGTCACCCCTGTTCCCGACTTGAGATTCGTGAAGTCAAAGCGGCCATGGGTTCCAAATGTGGCAGTGGGTCCAAACCAATGGTACCATTTTGGGGTTGGCGCACCACCCATTTTAGTCATTTTTTGTGGGGATTGGGATGTTCACGGTACGGGATTTCGCCCCCATGGCCATGTGAGGCTTGGGTTCGCTGGTTGTGCGATTTTTCTCGGAGCTTTCAACCTGGTTTTGGAGGGAGTGTGGCGGCTGATGTTCCTTTGGATCTTTGAGAACCGTTGCTTTTTGCCAAAAGGACCAGGGATCAAACAAAAACGCGAGGCTCCCCCTCTGTTTGGTTCTAAATGTGGGTTGCATTCACCTACACACGCTGAGCCTGAAGCCGTCGCGAGCAAAGAGATGACCGTGAGCGGGTGTGCGTGCGACTTCTAATCCTTAGACCTGTGGAGCCGCCACCATGGCGTGGCTGAGCAGCCGCTTCAGATAGGAAGCCATGACGTGCTGGGGTGACGGCGCACTGGAATCCGCCAGGAGCTTTTCGGCTGGAGACTTGCTGGCGGGCTCAGCTCAGGCAAAGGAGAAGGACGTCTCGACACAGATGAGCGAAGCTGCGCTGCAGCAGAGCGCAGCTGTTCTCGGCGCATCTCGGCGGGCCGAAGCCGCGAAGGCACGCTTTGAATTCCAACGGGTTCCGCTACTGTTGGCCCCATATTCATCAACCCCAATCTATAGGCGGGTGTTTCTGGGTTTGGGGAATCATCACTTTGGGAGGGGAACAGCCCCCCCATTAATAAACTGAGGTTGATTTCAACATTCGTAAGCTTTCCCACGCTACTTCGCATGACCTTTGGTTCCGCGCTACGGCTGGCAGATAGTCTCTCATTCCGCGTGAAGCAGCGTTTCCCAGAGGCCTCATGTGTTGAAGCTAGCATGATCCCTCGTGAAACGGTTGGGTGTGTTTGATTCAATTCGCAACAGAAAGGTCAAGCGCAGATGGCTGCCGTTCAACAACGTTGCGTAGTGTCAGCCATTCAATGTTCACTTGAGTTCCTGGCAAAACTATAGACGAAGAGATTAAGATGTACTTCGGAGATGCCAAACTGTACATTGCGCGGTTCTCAGTTGTGCTACCGGAGGCCCTACTTTTTCCTTTTAACCTCCCCGCCTAACATCACCGAGCCAAATTGATTGATTGACACGCATTCACCTGGGGCTCGCTCCTCGAAGATTCTTCCAAACATGCCGCAGGGGGTTCCATCCTTCGCAAAAATCCCCGCACCCACCCAACCCCCCGCAGCGGCTGGTTTTTTTGAGGCCGAGACCGGGAGACCTGCCTCGCTGGAGGGCTTCTTTCACGAGCGCCAGGCAAATTTTGTGTTTTTTTGGGCGCCGGCGGGAGCTTCAGGTGTGGCATTTAAGAAGATGACGGGGTCCCGGCAGTTTTGTTGGAATGTAATGGTAAACTGCACTTTTAGGGCAATCCGGTGACCCCTATATATTTTTGTTTTGTTGGAACCCACCAGTAAACTGCAACTTTAGCCTGTAGAACCCCTTTTTGGTCAAGGACAGCTGTTTGCGATTACGCTCTCGGGGTGGTCAAAGAAGGCTTAAAGGAACAAGTGAAACAGGATAATTCAGTGTCTGTGTTGAGAGGTCGAGAGGTCTTTCGACGGTTGCATGGGGGTTCATGTCAGGCCAAGCCAAGACCCAGCTCTTGTCTGCCTCGTTCTTTGGAATCATTGTTGTGTGCAATAGCTGAAACAACCGTTCCCGTGGTGGGATTGATGCTTTTCTGGAAAGATTCGGATCGTTGGAAAGGGAAGTTTGCAACCACATTTGTTCATGGTTAACTTATATGGGCAAACTAGTAGTAGTTATTTTGCCCGCAAGGAAATACCACCACCACCACCATCACTGCCGGCACCACCACCACCAGAGAATTCTTTGTCTCCTCTAATTGTCAGGGGTTCCCAGAGCTTCCGCACAGAAGTCGTATGACACGGAAAGAAGTTCCAGTTGGGTGAAGTCTGCCCATTTCAATCCCCCAGTTGATGGGGCTCCACATTCCAATTTTTGACACATATTCATTTGGGCGTCTTTGTTCAGTCTGACTCACCGAGCAAAACAAGGGAAGTGACCCCGAGATGTGGGTGCATTGAGGGAAGTACTTGGGTGTTCAAACGCAAGTTGTTGCTATTTGTCCGAATGAGGAAATTACCTATAAACCAGGTTTCAACACTATAGAGTCATAAACGTTTCAATTTCAACATGGTTGTAAACCACACTCTGTGGTTTCATTTATAAAGGAATCTTCAGGTTCATTCCCAACACCCGGAACGGTCATTCCCGACTGAGCACCAGCAAGTAGTGACTGCGCTAAGCCCCCGCATATGGAACCACCAAGATGAGCTGGTTATATGGCCATGATTTCAATAAGGAACCCCTAAAAGGGCCTGCTGGACATAAATCCCTATGTACATGATGTCCACCAACGGGTCCCCAATTAAACTTCCCACCCATTTTCCAGGGTGCGGGCCGCACTATGTCTCAGGCATTGGCTACCCCAGTTGCCCAGTGGTGCCCCTTTTTTCTCCTGAGCCTTCCCCCTAAGTCCACCAACCGAAAAGCATCCGAACCACACCCCTTTTTCTCTTTTTTTTTGGGGGGGGAAGGGTCTCCCCTTTAAAGCCAACCAACACAAAAAATGGGGATGCCTGGGCATCCGATTCCGGACAGGTCTTCTCCTGCCCGGGCAGCAGGATCGACGAGGATGACACCTCCGCCCCCAGGCGCCCGGCGTTTGGGAAAAAAACCTGATGCCGTGGGATGCCGGCAAAAATGGCTCGGCCGAGCAGTCCTGGCTTTTTTCCCCAACAGCTTTGGGGTCTCAGCCAAGATAGGCTCCGGGGTGGTCCGGGGCTGCCCTGAGGTAAGGTTCCACGAGGGTTCCACCAGGGTTCCACCAGGGTTCCACCAGGGTTCCACCAGGGTTCCACCAGGGTTCCACCAGGGTTCCACGAGGTTCTGCGAGGGCTGTTGGGGATATCACCTGAGCTTATTTTTTCCTGGGGGGGGGATCCTGGGGCGATGCTCCGGTAACCATAAATAACCCCTAAGGTTGAAGCCCCGGAGTCTATGGTCTCCAGGATCTGCAGCTTGCTGCCGAAGAAGGGGCTCCGCATGCAAAAATGAGGACGCCAAAATTCGATTTCGGCGGCTCCGACTCCAACTCCGCGGTGACAATGCGTCCAGCGACGCCCAGGAGGCGGAAATGTGGTGGCTCAAGCTCCTGGGTGCTGTTGCGCCGCGTGAGCTGCAGGTCATCAAAGACCTTGCGCCTTTTTGAGCCAGCCTCTTCTGCCCCCGCCTAGACACTGTCGTCAGGGGTCAGGTGCCGAAGCATGGCCACCACCATCCGAGGACGGAATTTGGGCTTCCTTTGGCTGCCCTTTCCGTGGGCCACTTTTCCGGAGCAACACCGGAGGGGGGGATGCAAAGTGACCTCTAGGCTCTGGGCTCCTGAGACCTTTCGAGGGGAAGCAAGGGAAAGGGATGAAAGCTGGGCTTATCATGGTTGTTGGAAGCATTTAACATTTTTGCTTATTGTGGTTTAGTGGCAAATCCCCACTGAACTGGTAAAAACTGGGTGGTTGCTCCCCTTCCAACGTCAACCAAGTTATTTGTTGGCAACTCCCTTTGGTACTTTTAGTGAGTGTGGAGCGCTCTGAAGAGTCCGTTGCTTGTTTTGACACCGAGAAATCTGTGGTCTCCAAACTTGTAACATAGCTTTCAGGGTATGCCAAACGTGGCCCAGACTCATATGGCTATGTAAATAGAGGATACCCTCCCAACTGCTTGGACGTGAAGCCCAATGATGTCCACCAGAAGTTTCACAATTTTCGTAACATCATACGACTCAACTTGCTGGTGCTCAGCAGGGAATGACCGTTCCGGGCATTGGGAATTCCACCTTTCGGGGCTTCCCGCATAAAGGACACCACCAATCGGATGGGTTTTCTTGGGGGTCATGCCCTTCTCCTTCCCTGCCTATCGACCCAGAAAAGGGCCGCAGCTCATTCCTCACAAAGGAAGCACAAAGCACACCACCAGTTGGACTGTTTCTCTCGGGCTCATGCCCTTCTCTGCCTAGCTAAACGGGCGCAGCGAAAGAGCGAGGCGCATGCCCTATCAGCCCGGGGAGCAGCTCATGCGCTCCGCCGCCTTGGACCCCTTGAAGGACTGACGATGGGCTGCGGGGGGTTCGGGCCAAACAGATTGGGGTCAACCCACTTTTGGGAATGAAGGAAATGGAAAGAGACAAGCCAGTTGTCCGGGATATCCGTCGACATGATTTTCCATGAGGTTCAAAGAGGGATCGGCTCAATCGCATCTTTGGGGCCAAAGCTGAAGTGGTGAGGGCTGAGTTGTGTGTGATCTGCAGTTGACCCACCGGGGTGGAGCCAATGAGTCACGCAAGCGCTACGCATGGGATCGGCCTATTGTATGGCGAGCTCACCTGGGGGTAGAGCGAGCTCACCACGATAAAGGTCCTTTACTTGGATCCAGTTCATGATTACGTAGTTGAGCCTTGTGGAATTAGTGAGCCATTGGCCCATGATTTCCTTCTCTTTGGATGAAAGCTTCTCCTTGATCACGATGATTCGGTTCACAAAGTCTCCCTAGGAAAAACTTGTGGATAGGATGTCAACCAGAAACCGTTGACAACTGGGCCGATATGAGCAGCGATCAGGACCTGCAAGCCGTGTTTGCCTCCAATGGGGAAGTCGGAAGGATGTGGTTCCTGGCCTGACTCATTCACTCATACAGACTAGGTCCCCCTTTTGCCGTTTCTTTTTTGTTTTTTTGGGTTCCCCTACTTCAACAGACTACAGAAAAAAGTTGGTACTCTTATTCTAAGCTTTGTACTGGAGGACCTAGCAGAAGCAACGGGGGAGACCCATCATTGCCAGCCACCCTCAAAGAGCGCTGGTAAGGTCCAATGTCAATTCCCTCGATTGACGGAGCAACAGGCAGAGCGGTACCTGCCAGAAGGGAAGGCACGCGCACGAAGCTCAAGAGACCTTTGCCAAACTTGACAGAAGCTTGTTTTGATCGGCCCTCGATGCTTTGTCACGTCTCTTTAAGACAGTTTCCACTCCCCCAAAGCCACTACCCTCAGAAATGTTCATGGGTACACAACCACGATGCAGCCATCATAAAAAGGGTATCAAGTTCATCTGGTGGTTTGGGGGCGGATGCGACTTTTTTGGGTGGACGAGCCGAAAGAGCGTAAACAAGAGCTGCGGTTTGGATGGAAGCTTCTAAGGGTTGATTCCCCATCCTTTCCAACCATCGCCCTTTTCGAAAACCGGATCCGTTTCCCTGGGTTTTTGGAGGTTTTCTAGAAGGATCCCTGGAAAGAATGGAAATGGAAGGCAGCAAAACTGCCTGCCTCACCACGCGTAGGACGAGGTCGAGCCCAGCCCCGGAGCTCAGGCACGCGCGACATGCGGCGCTCGTCGTCGCTTGCTCAAGGAAAAACTCCCCGGCATTGCGCAGCCGGGAGGCTTGATCTTTTTTTGGGGGGTTCAGTAGTACGTGCAGGTTTTTTGGGGGATCCCCCATTTACCCATATGTCAGCCCCAACAGAGCTTCCACTAAGTATCTCATGCCACTACCCTCAAGCGGAAGTCGCTTGTATAGCTTGATAACGAGTATGCAATCATTGTATAAGGATTATACCCCACCATAATCCAGTAGAAATATACAATCGCCACGTAACTATCCAGTCTATCCACTATATGACCACTACCCTGAGAGTATTTGATATTCGCCTGCCGCAGCAGGTTTTTTCTTTGCTGTGTGAGGCGAGCGTTCCCCGGGAGGAGGAGCGGTCCGAATGCAGCACAGCGCGGGTCCCAAAGGAGTGCGGAGGAGCAGTGCACTGGGAAAGCCTTGTCAGGGCCCCCGCTTGAAAAGATCACCTCCCAATAAGGAACCATCCCTGATCAGCACGGTCCTCCGGATGAATCCGAAGTTGACACTATCTGGAGTCATTATGCTGACTGTTTCTAGTTATCAGACTTAGACAATGGGGCTGTTTCCCTTGGTTCTACCAGTTTGGAGTCACTTTGGTCATTGTAAAATCATGGTACCAACAAATGATCAACATCTTCAGAGGAAAACATCCCCTGGTTGACTTTGGTCTGTTTGTTCACGGGATACCCTCCAAACATAGAATTTGCACAGTTCTAGAAAGTTCAATCTCTTGCAGGGAGCCCCTGTCAAGTGCAGGGGGCTCCCTTGCGGCTGGGATACTATGGATGGACGGGATCCTGCACCAGGAAACCATTGTTTGTTGGCATTTACAGGGGGATCATCATTAGGGTTCCTTAGGTGGTGCGAAATGCATTTCGTCCACAGTATCACCAGGGCTTTTTGTTTAGCCCCTGAAAGCAGCTGGACCTCCATGGCACAAGGATGGAAGCCCCTTCGCGCGACACCTGCAACGCTAGAAGAGACCGGTGGCCAACAGGAACAGCAGGTTAAAGACCATGGGGCGAGACGCAAAAAGGTAGCAGCTGGACCTCCATGGGTCCCTGGGTGATGCTGTTTTTTTTTTTTTAAGGATTATTTAGGGTAACTTCCAGCTTGGGGGCGTAATCCCAGGTTGTCCTTATGGGGGTCCCTATATTTCCCTGTTGGGCGGTAAAGATCACCTTTTTGGGCCAAAGGAGAGTGTCCCTTGGTGATGCTTTGAAGGAAGGGAGCCCTGTGCCTGAAAGCCTCGAGGCCGATACCGGCTCTTTTGCGCGGAACCTCTGTGCCCGGCGCTCGGGCGCTCGGACGAGATGTTGCCGCGGTGCCACGCTCGGGTCCCAGAGTTTTCAACTTCAGCCAGCTGAAACGTATGGCTTTCTGAACCAGGTGAGGATCGTGATTAGTTCAGAGGTTTGCTTCTGTTTTTTGAAGCAGGTGAGGTTCCGATCTTGTTGGGGTGATGGCTGTGAGGTAAAAGGGGAACTAGGAGCCATTTGATCTGAAGTCAGTATGTAAAGGTAACCCAAGCGGTGATCCAACAGCAGAGGTTATGACATACACACATGGAATATTTATGTGTACACATGTATATGCATATATATATATATACATATATATATATATATATATGGTCACCCCCCCCCCCCATGATCCACATTTTGCCTCTTGCAAGCAAAAAACACTGGAAACACACATGTAAAATGCTTGTTTTTGACCACCTGTTCCAGGATCAGATTCTGATCCTGGAAACTTGGGTCAAAAACAATCATCATTCTTGATGAGTAGATTAGTCAAAGATTGCGACATTCTTGATGGACAGATGTTAGGCAACTTGAAGCAGATGCTTACAGATGGTTTGTGTGGACAGGCTTCTGGAAAAAAAGTTAGCAGGGAGCAGATGGAACTTATGGAAGCAGCATGCAGAAAGTGCTGTACTGTCCCTAAAATCCAGGCTTTGGAGGCTGAAAGTGCTGTACTGTCCCTAAAAAACCTAAAAAACCATTCCAAAAACAGTCTTGGGCACACAAACCTCCTTCTGGCAAGGAATTTTTGGTTTTTTAGGGACAGTACAGCACTTTTTTTGGTTTTTTAGAGACAGTACAGCACTTTTTTTGGTTTTTTAGGGACGGTACAGCACTTTTTTTGGTTTTTTAGGGACAGTACAGCACTTTTTTTGTTTTTTTAGGGACAGTACAGCACTTTTTTGGTTTTTTAGGGACAGTACAGCACTTTTGAGCTCAGCATGCAGAAAGTGCTGTACTGTCCCCAAAATCCAGGCTTTGGAGGCTGAAAGTGCTAGTTGGCTAAGCAACTGGATTCTTGCCTGGAACCCACTAGAAAGATGGTATTTTCCACATGCAACAAACAATCCACGGTGGGTCAAATGGCTGCTAGTAGCTTTACTCCAATCATGACTAGCTTTGCTTTGAAAAAAGGCAAAATGGACCTCGTTCTAATGTAGGCCGTCACGGTACTAGACTTTGCCGTTGTCTTTGAACGCTGGAAGGCGATCGTATTTTGCGGGGGGGAGGGGGTGTAGCTCCTTGGTACAAACTGGGCTGGTTTCCCTTTGACCTACCATTTGGGGTGACTTTGATACAGGTAAAGAAATGGGGCCAGTCTCCCTCGGCCATTGATCGCAGAAGATCGAGCGTGGCGTCAAACACTTTGGCTATTTGGGGCCCCAAAGTGTCGTGGATCTCTGCGTCTTTTTGCGAGGCTCGGCACCCTGCCGTTTAGAGCGGCTTTAACGGCAAAAGCAAAACTTCCATTTGCTTAAGAATATGTTTTATTTGCCCCGGTTGGTTTTAAAGGGAAACTATCACTACTGGACATATTCATTTTTATTTTTTCCAGGGGTCTTAACCAAATGGAAGAAAAGTGTTTAGAAGGTGGGGTCAGCCTGAAGCGGAAGGACCAGCCACTGAAAGGAGAAGGATTCATGTTTCAGTTGGGTCCTCAGGAACTCGCAGCCAAAGAAACAGGGATCGTGTCATGGGCTGACCCGTTCGACCCCCCTCAGACCACTTCCCTTACGAGTCAAGACTACAAAACCACTACCAACAAACTTGTACCACTGCCACTACCACTGGACCAACAACAAAAAACCGCCAAACAACACCATTTTTTCCCCCAAAGAGTTTGGGCCTTCCCCTCCGCCTCCGCCTCCTCCGTGTTTTCCCCCCGTTTTCTCCTCGCCTCGACGTCTCGACAAGCGCCCGCCAGGCGGCGGCTCCCGAGCTGCCGGTGCTGCGGCTCGAGGCGGCGCTCAGCTCCGTGCCCTTGGAGAAGCTGGACCCGAAACGTCGCCGCGCGAGCGCCGTTCCGCTGGCGAGCGCTTTTCGGGGTTCGTCTTTGCTTTGAGCGGTGGCCGTTGTTGCTTTTTGCTTCTTCCTTTTTTTCAGGTATCGTGTTGTTGAGCTGGCTTTTTCTTCACCGTTTTTGTTTGGGGGGGGTGTTTCTTGAGTCGTTCTACATTTCGCCGTCGGCTTTTTGTTTTTCTCGAGCTTTTTGGCGGGGACTTCTTGGTTGGTGTCGGCGTGTTCGCGTGTTTGTGCTTTTAAGTGGGAGTTGCTTGTTTTTTTCGGCCTGGGGATTTCTTGGGCATCTGTTTTTTCAAGGATATTGGTTCAACCCCTTAGGGAACAGCCCTGATTTTATGAAGGTCTATGCCAGTTACTCCAGGTACATTGTCAGTTTTTCAGACACCCAGTGGGCGCAATTTCTTCTTTCAACTTATCACTTGCCCGAAGCCAACTCTTTCACCTTTTGGTTTCCCCTTGTTGGTCAATGTTCAGTCATGGCCTCAAACGGTGATCACCTTTTATTTCTGGGTCCAAACTGGGCAACTGAGACTTGTATTTTGGGAGGTGGGCCCCCTTTCAAGTCAACGGGTCCAAACATGGTCATACGGCATACGGCCAAGCACGTGTTTCTTCGCTTTCCTTTTTTCCGACACAGTACGGGTTTCATGCAGCCAAATACGGGCACATTGGGCAATGACAGAAGGAACACCTACGGGTAAAAGTGAGCCGAATACGCCTTTTGACCACACAAAAGTGGCCTTTTGGGGCTCCAGGCTGTATGACTTCCCTTTTTGCTGATTTAGACCAGACCATGCTGGTTTTGGGTATTTGCCTTGTAGAATTTCCTGCTTTCCATGAAGGAGTGACCAGGTTGAAAGAAGGAACCGCCAAAACAGACATACGCATTGGCAAGCACCTCTTTTGTTGGACTTCCACTTTGTCGCCGCGCGGTTTGTTTTTGGAAAGCCGAAGGGGTTTTGTTGGTGTAGAATTTCCTTCCGGAGGTAGAGATGACTGGTTTGGAGGACAAAGCGTGAGCCGCAATCAAAATGCAGGGGGAACTGGTAAGCAGGGGGACAGTCCCAACCTTGAGATACCATGTGTAAGTGCGCATACCCATACTTTTGAAACAAATTAAACCAGGTGATTTCCATGATCAATCCCTTCACTGTTTATTTTCTTTTACCCGGGCCACTGACCTGAGGGAGAGAAACTTGGTCGCTTCGCGTCAAACCAAACCTTGCTTCCCTATAAACCCATCCAACTGATGGTTTCCTTTAAGGGAACGCCCCAAGCGGTTCACTCCCAAAGCCCGGCTTCCGTTTCAGGGAATGCCCGAAACCGCCGCATTTTCCCCAAATTCCCGGGGTCGGCGGTTGGTCCTTCCGACTTCCCCGCCTCTCGCTTTCCGAGCGCAGCGATGGGGTAGGAGAACTACAGCATGGGCGCTGCCGGGCACGAGGTGCGACAGCGCGGCGCCCAGAGACCCGAAAGCCCAGAACGCCTTGGGAACCACGGAGCCCTTCGTTTAAAAAGAAAATCCATGTGAACTACTCACTTATTATGAGTGGTGCTCATGTGAACTACTGACTTCCTGAGTGGATGGCCCAAAAAATGGTCCAAACTTGTTGTGTGCCACTAAAACGGTCTGCCCCAAGTTGAAACTCCACTCAGGGAGTGAGGCTAACCCCTTTGACCACAAAACGGATACAACCAAACAGGCGGCCAAGTTGGGAGTTTGTTGGTTGGTGTGTTGGTTTGGTCTGGTTTGGTTTGTTTGTTGGTTTTGTTTGGTTTAGTTAACGTTTGGGTGGTTTGTTTGATTATCTTCGTTTTTGTAGGTTTGGTTCGTTTGTGTTGTTTGTTTGTTTATCTGTTTGTTCGCGTGTGTGCTTGTGTGGCTGATTTATTTAAGTGGTTGTTTGTGTGTGTGTGCGCGCTTGTTTGCTTGTTGTGTTGGTTGCTTGTTTGTGTGTTTGTGTGTTTGTATTCTGTCTTTTGTCTTTTTTGGGCATGGTTTTGCTGGCAGCTGAAGTTGAAGCTTTCGGAATGTTCGAGTTCGACGATGCTGAGAAGTCGTGCTGGTGGTTTCCATCCGGGAGCGCGGGGAAGCGGCCGGTTGGATGTTTGGCTGAGGCGATCTGTCCATTTGCTTCCAGGGGTAACCACTGATCCCGATTTCGTCCCATAGAGAAATCTACAGAATGGGAGACAAGGGGAGACAAGGGGAGAAGGGGAGAGAAGGCCACATCGTGGCGGCCTCGTAAAACAGAATCAAGAACCCTTGCAAGGGCTCCGACCGTAAACTTTTGGGGAAACAGGTCAACCCCATAGTTTTTTTTGGTGTTATATTTTGTTGGATTAGAAATGGGTAAATCACTGGTCCTGGTTGAGCTGGGTGTTTCTAAACAATTTACCAGGGAAGCCCGGTGTTCAGAATCGGACCGACAAAGTGGGTGATTCTTCCTTTCGGTTGCCCTTTAAAACCACCAGAATCTGGTACCCTAAACAAAAGACGCACCCAAATCACGCAGAACAATCCAAACCTTTGATCAAAGATTGGATTTTGCTTCTGGTGGGAACCGTTTTTGCACCAATAACGCAAGCCCGCTGGCTGCAACAGACGCTGAACAACGCCTTTGGAAGGACCTAATTGGTGAAGGCCAATGAGGTGGTGGCTTCCTTCCTTACTTCCTTCGGGTCAAACTGTGGGGCCAATCAAATGGCCTTGACCAGCTTCTTTTGGGCATCCTGAGCGGGTATTTGTTTTTTGCTCCATTTGCATGAAAACGCGCGCTTTTCAGCGCACATTCCCCACTCGGGCACAAAACGCGCGTTTCGTACGGAAATTCCCGGTGTTCCAGCACGCTGCGTCTCTGGGCGCGCTTTCCCCAAAGGCACGGCCGCGAAACGCGCCTCTCCCCGTCTTATTCAGTTTCAGCATCCGTGCGCCGACAACATCCGTGGGGACAGCGCTGTATCCATGCCTGCCAAAATCGTAAACACAACCGCTCGCGTGCGCCCGCTCAGCACTGTATCCATGCCTGCCAAAATGGTAATCACACCCGCTCACTGGGTAAAGACACCCGCGCACGTGTACCCGCTCAGCACTGTGCCCATGCCTGCCAGTTGGTATGCACACCCGCTCACGTGCGCGCGCTCAGCACTGCCAAATGGCAAGCACACCCGCTCACCCGCCCAGGACCGCTAAATGGTAAGTGCACCCGCTCACCTGCACCTGCTATCAGCCGCTCAGCGCTGTATCCATGCCTGCCACATGGTAAGCGCAACCAACCCCGTTTCCCTCAGAAACACCCTTGCGTGCGTGTGTAGGTCTTCTTGACAAAGCCCTACGATCCCTGAGAAATACCAGTGCATTTTTGCAGGTGCCCTCAGAAACAACCGTGGAAACAAGGGGACGGGTTGCCTGTTTTTTCGCGCGTGAACAGGTCGAGAGGGGGTTGTGTACGTATTTTGTAAGGAGCCTTTTTTCAGTTTACCCGGTTTACCAGCCTCTACTTACATTAGTTTTGATTGAAATCTCAATCGAGAGGAGGCACCATCTGGTTTTGGGTTGGGATCAAGTCACGCCCCGTGACCTCGATTGGGTTGCTTTCTGCTTTCAATTCTTTTGGAGGGGCGGAAGAGCCGAGAAAAAAGAGTCAACCCACAAGAAAAGGCCGCCAATAGCTGTGGTTCATCGTTTTTGGAGAGTTTCCTTCAATCAACACAAAAGTCTTTTTCCACCACTAAAGTCCCGGTCTCTTCCCTTCAATCAAAAACGGGTGAATCTCTTTTCCCACGGCCACTAAACCTCCCAGTCTCGTCAATTCACTCTGAGGTGCAGGCCCTGCGCGTTCTTCCACACCAAGGGCTGCTCCTCCGGACGGGACTGCGAGCGGCGCCGGCGATTTTGGTCGGTTCGGGTTTCTCTTCGGCTGGGGGGGTGGGGAAGGGGCTTCTCCTTTTGAAAGGGTCTCCTTGTAGAGGGGTTTCCCAAGTCTGCGCTACTTCAGCTCGATGAGGCCTGCGTGCGTGCTCTTGAACGCGCAAGATAGGCGTGGCAAGTGTCCAGCAAATTCCCTCCTCCCGCAAATCCTTTCTCGCGATCACTGCACCTCTCGCCGAACACCGAAAAGGGTGTCTTTTTTGGGGGCTGTTGCCCATGTTCAGGTGGGTTTAATGGGAGGTCACTAGGAGGACGACCAGTGTAAGGGATTCACTCGACCGTTTTTTCTTTCTTAATTTGGTTTAAAGAGGGAGTGAATATGACGAGTCTGAAGGGCATGGGATTTGTGGACTCTGGGGACCCGTTGAGCCGAAACGTTTTCGGTCGCCAGGCTTCGAACGCATCGGATTTCCTAACACTTTTGGGCTGGGGTAGGTGCACTTGGGGTCTCCTCCAAGACATTTTGTTTATTGGGTTGGAAAAAAGACACGTAATCTGAAAACATGAGTTTTGGAGTACCCGAGTAGGCCCTTGTTTGCCATGGGTCTTGGGCTCCTATCGTCATCTTCACTTCTGGGGGTAAAGGGTGATCGTTGAGCAGATGTCCTGCTGGACCAGCGCCATTGGGGGTAACTCTCAGGCATCGGTCCCCTAAAGCGGGTTCCTTTTGGTTTCCCTTGATTGCAAACCGACAGAGGGTCCGCCATTTTGAGACGCTCCCAACTTAGGTGTTCTTTTCCGGAAGGTGCAAACGTGATTGACACATTGCCTTTCTGCCGTGTCGAAAGTAAGAAGGGATCGACTAGAAGCCACGATGATGCCAGCCTCAAAACCAGCAAGTGGGGTTGACAAACTGCGCTTTGGTTTCCCCATGTTTCCCGATGGTCGGTTGTATCCAATAGGGCAAGGTCACAAGGCTCGGGCGCCAAATTTGGTCTCTTTGGGGGGAACGAGAAAGGGGAGCCCTTTCAGTTTCTACGCAAGATGCGGGCAGTCATGCTTGCCCCATGTCCATTTAAGATGATTTCTTCACAAGAAGTGTTTGCCTCTGGAATTCTTAGGTTTTTTGAACCATTCGTCATTGTTCCACAATCGGAATTACCTAGTTACTGAATGGTCGACATGGCCAAGGATCGTGAATGAGGCCATATCAGCCTGTGATCAATGACAAACGTCAGATATCTGATTTTTGCATTGCCAGACTTGCGAAACGTACCCTTCCTCCCACTAACATAGCAATTGTGGGAGGGTATCTGGAGGATCAATTTCGTCGACAGACCCGCTGTTAAGTGCCACGGCAACGTGGGAGGGAGAGTAACCTTTTTGCAGGTCGAAGTCTGCCCAGTTTCTCTTTGCCAATGCGAGCTCATTCTGGCTGGGGAAGATGACTGAAAGCACCGGCTCGAGATTTTGCCGTTTCCGCCGGGATTTGTGGCTGGAGGTTTCAGTCGCCTTGTCTGAAGTGATGATGAGCTCCAGAGCTCAGCTTTTAGCTTTCGAGGAGGAAAAGAAAGCAACAAGGAAAGAAAAAGGGTTAAGGTTCAATCAAAGGCTCCAAGGGAAAAGATCTGTTGCCCTTTTCTTGTCGGAGAACTGGCAACGGGAGCCCGTCTTTTCCCAACCCACCGGTCGACGAGCGCGAGCAAGAGCAACCCTTTTGGGGGTTCTTTGGAGCTATGAGGTTCCTGGAGTTTTTCTTCACCCAAGAGTGACTGGAGTTGTTTTTACCTGAGGGTGGATCAACATTTTAATTTGGGGCCCCCAAATGGTAGCTTTTTCCATGTGGAACATATCAAGTCCTTTTGGTGGTTTTCCATTTCCAATGGTCATCCCATGTTCATCGGACCTTTTGATCCACCCCTTCATGGAGACATTTGTTTTTACCGGCCGGTTGAGAAGACCGCGGAACCGGTGTTCTGCCAGGTTCTGCCACCTCTGCCCCAAGGGTGAGAAGCAAAGACGCCAGAAGGAGGGGCTTGGCCCCGCGGTGAGCGGTGCGAATGGCCGTCAGATGAGCAAAACTGAGAGTCTGATGGGCTTGGCTAGGCCCCCCAGTAGTGCCCTTTTACCCCTTTTTTTTTTGGGGGGGGGGTTCCCCTACTAAAATAGACAACAGAAAAAAGGTCCCCTTATTCTAACCTCTCTACTGGAGGACCCTAGTTGGCGTCCCACGAATTCAGGAGCCAAGCTGCTACTGTAAGGGGGTTCGGAACACGGGTAAATGAGGGGGAGGGAACACATGGGTTTGCCTCGTTTGTGTCATTTTGTCGAGGAACCCCTTTTGGGGTTGTTGAATAGCCAAAGGGCCTGACATAGTTGCTGTTTGCTGTCTGAAACCCAAACTCGGGTTTGGAGGTGACATGGCATCCCTTCCAACCTTTGAAAAGTAGCTGTGTAAAGAGGATGGCCTCCTTGCCAGGCAAGTCAACCATATACCCTACCTACCAGTGAAGGCTTCTACAACCAATGTATTTCTCTTTCAAAATCTTTACAGCATTTCATGCTTCTATAAATGGATTTCTTCTTTTAATAGTTTATCATCATTATTATGTTTTAATTATTAGAATTCAATATGTCTGGAACTTGGAAAGAGAAACAGCTTTTATCTACATCCTACCAACATTCCAAGAAGTAGGATCTAGAATGGGAAAGGTATTAAACATAATCTTGTCCTATCTTCAAGAGCTGACTTTTAAATCTGCGAATTATGCCGGCATGAACAAAGAGGATGTCATGGACCCATCCGATATACACGACCAATGGACAAGTTGTGAGAAGTTGATAGAGAGTCTGTCCTTTCCTTATCCATTCCTATCTCATATCGTTTGTACGTATTTGTTGAATCTTTCATGTTCGGATTCCTCAGCTCTAATAATAATGAGATGTTCTATCCTCATCATGCATCCCTTTTGTTCTTCAGGACATTTTTTTTTTGGGGGGGGGGGGTAGGCTAAATCAGAAGCAGAATCTGACAGATCTGTTTTGTCCCTGCAGTTTTGGGCGCTTGGTGCAGGGCATTTCAGGCCCGATGGCCTGAAGATTCAACGATGGTCCCAGCAGCAGATGCATATATAGTGTTTTTTTTGGGCAGGGGGGGAGGCTTAGCAGTATATATGTATATATATATATATATACATATGTATGTATATTGCCAACCACCGTTTGAAGAGCTGCGCAGAATACGATATACACTGCTTTGAGACGGGTAGGCACCGTTTGAAGTGGGGAAAACACGCGTGAAAGCTAGCAGCCACCGTCTGGCCTCATGTGGCCCTTGTGTTTACCTCAGCTTGTCAACCTGATATGTTGTTTCGCAAAAAACAACCTTCCCCCTGGGGTTCAGTTACCACCATTAAAACACTGGGGCTAGGATACCCACCATTATTTACCAATGGATTTTCATCATCCAAATTGGTTCCCTTCTATCTTTTTCATGGGGAACGAACCCGAGGTTTACCCTCAACCATTCAAGCCTCGGCATTACAGCTGATCAACCCTTCTGATGGGGACTCTTCGGGGAAGGTATCCCAAGAACATATGCGTTGCCTCTGCTGTTCAACCTAGCCTCCAAGCCTGTCCAAACCTTCTTCACTCGGAAACCCGTTTTTCACGGGGGCCACCATTTTGACGCGGCGTCCGACACAGAAATCAAGAAGACAACCACCATCTGTTCTTTCGTTCACTTCTTTGGGGCCCAACCGAGTCCGGCCGAGTCCGGCCAGGAGAAGCGTGCCTTCTTTGGCGCCATGCGCTCCCTCCAGAAGATCGCCGCAGCGCCTCGGCGCGAAGTTTTCGTACCCTGCGAGGCCATTTGGGGCCCTGGGATCCAGGCAGGTGACTTTGGGGTTTTGCGGAGATACTGTGGATGGGCGAAATCCAACGCACCGTTCAGAAACCCAAGGGAATGATTCGGAAACCCGGTAAATGCCAACAAACAATGGTTTCCCATGGTTTCCAACGTTGCAGGATTTTGTCCATTCACAGTAGAAATCGCCCGCCCGATTTTGAACGACCAGATTTGCTCTGAGCCTTCATGAGGTGCCAAGTAACCCATTTGCAAAAGGAGAGTCGGACCCGCCATACAACAGCTTCATCCCTCTCCCCACTTGCTGAACTTGCTGGGCTCGGCCAAGTAAGTTGTTGCGAGGTGATAACCCACGTCTTCGCCATAGGGTTAACCCCATCCTTGCCGACTGGGCCGAAAACAGGTTCCCTTCAAGCTCACCGATGTTCTGGTGAGCACCCTCACGAGGCCTCTTTCGTTGGAGCCGGTTTCTCTTTGACTGCGCGAATTCCCGTGGGGAAAGGATGGAAGGTCTAGTCAGAAGATGTCAGAATCCTCTATATGCACTCACACATTTCCCCAGGCGCCCGAGGCCCTTGCCGACAAACTGCAAACATTGCTTAGCTTCTTCCAGGAAAGAAGGATGGTCGAAGTTGGAACAGGAATCAACCCTAGATTCGCAGGATTGTTTGGGTCTGGAGACAAGGTTGCGGGAGTCTGTGACCCCCCCCCCCTCGGCAGAAATCCGTGAAAACCCTGCAAATCTGGAAAATACGGGTTTGTGTCGCACAGGAGCACCCCGCTCCCCTTTCCAAAAAACACACACACACAGGTTGTTTCCCCCCCCCCCCCGAAACCCCCACCAGTTGTTTCGTGTTCTGGGAAATCCATTCCAAACAACCCCGCTCCCCCACCCCCCCAAGCCAAAAAAATCGAAACCTGTTTCTCGTTTCCTGCTGGGAACCCTTCAAAACACTCCCCCCCCCCCAGCAGGGTTCAAAACCCTATTTAAAAAATAATAGAACATAATAATAATAGTAATAATAATAAACGGCCCACTGGAGCCAAGGAGTCTTGGCCCTTCCGCTCCAGCGAGCCTTCGGCCGCTTCCTCGCAAATCGCCGAAGCGGAAGCGCCCGCGCCCCCCGCGCCGAGCGCGGGGGACGGTCTGGGGCCGTGAGGACGGAGAAAACGGGTTGGGGGGGGGCCGGGGAGGGGGTTCGGAGGGGGGGGGGCGGTGTGTCAAGGTCGTCAGAGCCGGTTTTCGGCTTTAGAAGGAACCCCCCCAGAAGCTCTTGGGATCGTTTCAGTGGACACCAGCAAGTTGAGATCAACTGTTGGAGGGAAATCCAGCCATTTCTGTCAACACAGAGGGCCCGATTTTGGGGTGGGGTGCTTTTCGTTTCCCTTCAGGACCTCTCAGTGAACATGTTCGGGGTTCAAGTTACTGCTCAGCCCCTTACCATGGTGCTAATTTTGGAGGATGTCACTATAAGTTGTCACCTTGCGGCGAGTTACCCAGAATGAGCCATGTCAAAACACCTGGGGGAGGGATGATCACCCTCTGATTCGGCAAGAAGGATGACCCACGCGCCCAGCGGGTTCTCAGCAAGGTAGCCGTCGACCCCCGGTTTAGAGCATCCCTTCCACAGTTATGGAACCACACAGCCTTGAGGGTACCCCTGTTGTGGTTTAAAAAGGAAACCAAGAGCAAACCATGTTGAGGGAATCGGTGAGTCCCCTAAAATGGTTGGCTTCCTCAAGGGAAACCACGAAAACAAGGCTACCAACTCAAAAAATCACACTCTCAGCATTCAAGATCAGCCAAGGGAGCTCTCTTCTCCGAGGTATGTCGGGCATGAGTAGTCCTAAACCTCACCTTTTTGGGCCCTGAAGTACAGGGAAACCTGTGAGTGTGAGATCAGAAGTGCAGGGTGAACCTAGACCAGGTTGTGCGAATCTTCGTGCTTTTGCCAGGTGGTGATTTCCTCCTGTGGTGTCCTGCGGAGGAATTGGGGAAGGGGAATCTCCGATTTTGAACAACGCAGCTAAACCGTGCAGTCAGTTTGATAGAACCAGTGAACGGGATCCGCGCACTCGCAACGTGTCAAATCCTGTCCAGTTGCTCGATGCAGGAATGCGGATGATTCCTATGCGATCACTGGCTAGTGATCGTGTTGCATGTGCCGATTGGGTCCATCAAGAGGCCTACTCGACCCGAGGCAGTTTGAAGAAGCGTTCTTCATCGCGGTGAGCAAAGGGAAACCAGTGGAAAGCCAAAAGGGGAAAGAAGCGCCCAGCCTACCGGTGGTAGCTGGAAGCATTGGGTCAAAAGATGTCTCACAACTAGGCCCTGGACCCCCCATATATTTTATGCTCCTGTTTCGGGTTTCAACCCCTCCCCCCAACCCCTACCCCGTTTGGGGGGGGGCTTCTGACATTCGCATGGAGAACCGCTGACTGTAGCTCGCGCCGCGTTTGCGTTTTCGCTTCGGCTGCAGCGCTGGACACCATGTTGCCCCATTCATATGCTGGGTGCTGAATAACCCAGAGTGTTTTACAATTCTCCAAACAAAGCCAGAAGGGGATGGACAACTGGGTGTGGGTCAAACATTTAAACCAACAGGAATCGGACCGCAGATTTTGATCCATGTTTCCACTTGCCGATCGGGCAAGCCATGTGTACCTTGTTTTGACCCACAGCCTGGTTCTCTTTCTTTCTTTAGGCCCTTAGCACCCAGTCGGGGCGGCATGCCTCTTGGGCTTCAGGAGACCCAGTGGATGCAGTTGCCAAGGGTGACCAGGGGGTTCACCTCTGGGGTTTTGGTTTTCCCTAGCTACGTTTTCTGACATTCTACCAGGTTTTGCATAGATATAGATTTGTTGGCTCTAGGTTTTTTTTCTATCTACGTTTTCCAAATTCTTCTACCCACGAATGGTTTCCTCTGGTTACCTGTGGTAATTGGAAGCACTGGGAGAAGGACCCCCTACCCTTCAGGCTGCGAAAGGAGCCTTCTGTGAACCTTTTGCGAGACCGGGATCCTTTCGAAGCCTTTCAGGTGGCCAAAGGGGGCAGGGGGCCACAGGGGGCCTCGAAGGCTTACTGGTTCCCAGTGGAGTTCTCGGGGTCCGAACTGAACCCTCCCCTTTTTTCCAAACAGAAACCAAAAACGGACATGTCATTCTCCCTGTGACCCCGGGGGAAATTTCCCACTGGGAACCAGCGAGTTCGACTCCTCCCGAGAGCTAGGCACAGAGGGCCATGCGCAATGCAGCTTTTGAGCCGGGGGATGGGCACTGTACAATTTCCACGCACCTTCCCCAAACCCGCCCCACACGCGCGCCGCGAGTGTGGTTCCATTTAAACGAACTTACTACTCGGTTTGCCCTTAAAAAGGGTCTCTGTGTGTTTTCCCTTTTAGCCAGCAATTAGTCAACTTGTTCTCACTCCCTGAACTCCGGCACTTTTTTTTCTTTTTAGGGAGACAGTTTCATTGGCGAACGCAAAGTGTGGACTTTGTTTTGGCCAGTCAACTCAGGAAGTGAGTTTTCCAGGGTAAGTTAAGTCTGGCCGAGTTTTGTGCGGCGATTGCCGCGGATTCCCATGGGCTTGCCGTTCTATATTCACTTGCTCCCAACCTCAAAATGACCGCTTGCCACAACAAAGCGTTGAGGGGAATGGGGTCTTGAGTGGTTTGGAGCACTAGCCCAATTACAGAGATTCCCTGGTGCTTGTTGGGAGTTTTGGAATTCTGTTCAACTTGGCAAGGTCAGAACCTTAAGGTTATACATTCGGGGGGGGGGGGGGTAACCAGCATTTGTTGCCTCGCCATGCTATACAACTTACTTTCTAGCTTGGTTCCATGACGTATCGACCGAGCTCGTCCCAAAGGCGCGCGTGTGAGTCCCAGACTCGTGGATGAGAGGTACTGGGATGGGCCGAAGAAATCGAAAAAGAACAGGAACACCCCGTCCCCGTTCGAACGGTGCCCTGAGCTTTCGACACGGTGTGTCTCAAAATGGATGTCGAAGCCCGTGAGGGTACCCCAACATTTTGGGCTTGAAAATCGAGACTGCGCTTTTGAGACACACCCACCCAGGGCGACTGTTTTCAAGATGGTTTGTCAGTGCCGGAGAAGAAGAGCACCAGAAGCACGAGGGCCGGCCGTGCGGGGAAGCTGAACGAAGAGGCCTTAAGAACAAGGCTGCGACCCTTATGAAGCGACCACTTGCAGTTAGGGTTGGCATAATTTAATTACCAAAAAATGGATGCAAACAATAAGGGTCGATCATCTGGTGACCACTTGCGGCGAGGGTTCTGCGGTTTTATGAAAGATGATCAGAGAAAGAAGAACAGATGGGTGTCCCAAACTGGGGGAAGTTCCAAAATGGTGGGTTTCCTTAGACGGTTTCCATTTGTGTGTAAACCCAACAAAAGGGTGTGATTTAAACATCAAAACACATCCAGATAGTTTCCGTTGGTTTTCCTTGGGCCAAATGTCCATCGAACTTGGAGCAGCGGGTTTCGACGGAAGGGTCTTACAGGTTCTGATAGATGGGTGTCTTTTCGGAGGCTTCCCGAATGGGCTGGTCTAAGGGACCCATCGATTTTGCGGGGGCTCCTTCATGTTGAGACACCTTTGAGGCGGGTTTTTTGGTTTTTGCTCTCCCGGAAGCTGGGCTGTCCAAGCTCCGGGGTCCGGAGCTCCGGTGTTAGGTTCCAGGTTCCTAAAGGCTAGGGGTACGAAGGGAACGAGTGAAACGCTTAAGCCTTCAATCAATCAAACGGGTGTGTCTTTTACAGTGGGCCCCAACAAAGGCTTCGGTCTTCCGCTGGGTACCAAATCAAGGGGTACCAACTCAACCCCACTGTGAGTCCCTGCCGACGAGTCACTGGACAGTTTGTGGGGCAGGGAAGAAGACAAGGTTGAATCTGACAGCCCACACCCCAATTCTAACTGCGTAACCGCCGTTCGTAAACATGGCTGTGGGTCAAAGCCGTTTTGGTACCATTTTGGGGTAGGTGCACCACCCATTTTAGAACCCATTCTAGTGGGGATTTTTTGGCTGTTCACTGGGGCTACGACTTGGATTCTGACCCATGGCCACATGTCAAAAAGGGCAGGACACATCGGTGCCTTTTTTTGTTTGTTTTTTGGTAGAAAACTAGATGGCGATTCCTGGTTTACCTGGTGGTTTGATCATCTACCAGGGCCATCTATTACCCCTAAAAGGACACCTATGGTAGGACACTCTTGCAAGGGTGTCTCGAGGTTTTTCAGAGACCGCTCTGATGAGGCCGGAGAAACTCCTGCTCCGCAAGGATCAAGGCAGCCGGATGAAGGGGAAACCAGCATGGAAGCAACAACAACCCGCACATATGCTGCCAGCTTGAGTGAGGGGATGTATAGCTATATGATAATCAGTCATCTTTTTACTGTTGGGGTCATCATTGTTATCAGTTGTTTTTTGTTTTACGTATTTGTGTATTGACATTGGTTTATTTTCGAAGAATACTTATTATTATTATTATCGTTATCATCATATATGCACACGCTCGCACACATGCATTGCTTTGTATACATCCAGAGTTTCAGACAGATCTGTGATTCCGTACCAAAAGTGTGCTGCTCTAATTCTAATGACTATATATTGGTGGGTCCACATGTTTGGGATTCCCTGGCTTGGGAAAACATCCACATTCAGATATGCCAGTCGCTATGTGAGTCGGGACCCTTTTTGGAAGTTCTTTTATAAGGACACCCGCAGGATGTCGACTGGTTGCGGCGTGCATTGCACTGATTTGCCCTCCCGAGTTATCCGGCAGACCATGTAATTGGACCCGCTCAGGTCAACAGGGTATGTAATAAAGCTTCTTTTTCGAAACCCGCGTCTGCATTGGGCTGGAATCGGAGCCCGGAAACATCCAATTGCATTGTGCTTTTCTGTTTCGATATGGGTTTGTCTCAAACTAGGGGGCCCCAGAAATTGGCGGTTCTCTTTTTTTTGACAGCACTCCAGGGATTTTTCTCCCCAAAACGACATGCTAGGGTTTTGCTTCAAAAGAACCCATTGTGCACAATATCCCCCCCCCCCCCCCAACAAGAAAAAACAACAACAAACAAAACAACAACAGCAAAAACTGACACACACCCACCTTCCCCCCAAAAAAAAACAAAGCACAAAAAACATAAAACGACCCACAAAACAACCACAAACCTTCGGGCATGCGCCGGGCCGCGCTGTGGCTCCTCCTCTGGGGCTCATGGCACGCCTTCGTCCGCCCCGCGCCTCGCGGAGTCGCCGCGCCGCGGCGCCTTCGCCGCGCGCGGGGGGCAGCCGAGGAGGGCCCCCGGCCTGCGCTGGGCACCAGAACGCCCATGGGGCAGGAGACGGGCAGAAACGCCGCGGTGGGGGGGGAGGGGGGGATGTGGCTCTGACGCTTCAAAGGCGAGTTGGTTGGAGAGCAAAGACTGTAGGACTCAATGACTTGCTGGTGAGACTGGCAGGGAATGAGAAATGGAATGACCCGCAGAAACCATCAAGCTGGTGGCTTCCTTTTCCGGGAACCCCAAACCGGTTCATGTCCATAATGTTGAATGTTGACCTTCATAAACCCTTGTTTATTCATGTGGGGGGGGGAGGTTCCCCTCCAAAAGTGATGATTTTTCACTGAAACCACGGACACCCCATATTAAAAAATAGGGGCTCTGCTTCATCCGGGCTCTGTCAGGGTTGTTTGACTGCTGAGTTCCACTTCTACGGGATTAAGGTTTGTGGTTGGGTTGGGTTGTTCTTGGGTTGTTGGGCTACTGGGTTGTTGCCCCTGTCAACATGACTTCCCACTCGCACCAGCAAGCTGACTCAAGCTACTCGTCGGGAGGTCTCCGCAAAGCCGCATTTTGTACGCATCAACCCCCATGCCCCGAAAAATTAGCGGTGTTTTTTGTCCCCCCCTGTTTGTTTTGTTCGTTGTGTTTTCTGGGGGTGGGGGGGAGTTGGGGAGTTGGAGGGGGTGCAGGTGTTTGTTTGTTTTTCTTTGGGGGGCTCGGTTGAATCACCGTGCCAGGGTGCCAGGGTTGAGTCTTCCGAGAGAAACCGTGGTTTCGGCCTTCTACATCATCCTTTTGGGTCTCCAAAGGTGGCCAGCACATGGTTCTTTACACATCCGCCTCTGAGTTTTAAGAGCTGGAGCAACAGCTTTTCTTGGACATGAATCGAAAACCCACCGATTTCTGTCCACCATTTCGGGCCCTTCGCAAAAATCACCGCCCTCCCCCCCTCCCCCCCAATCAAGCATCAAGCACCGTTCGAACACATCCTTGAGAGCACATGGAGCCGGAACCCGCAGGTGATGTCAAGCAAAACGAGCTGCGGATATGGGTGGCTCGGCTCTCTTTTGGAGGGTACCCTTTTCGGGTTTGGTTTTCAGTTTCTGGGGGGTCTAGTAAAAAAACAGAATTCGACCAAGAGGAATTCACCTGACATTGCATTGGCTTTGCCAGAAGCAAAACACTTCAACGCAGCATTGGGCCAAGCCAGACGTTTTGTTCCCTCCCCTGACATGGCGGAACGGTATATATTTTGAGGTCGGGCCAGGAAAAAGGCGCAGAAGTTGGCATCAGACAATTTGCAGACAGGACCAGTCACCAAACGGAGGCTCCAGTGGTGTTTCGAGTCCCTCCGCGCTCTGATTGTTCTGCTGGCCCAGGTGGCTGTGGGTCAAAAATGGGTATCCATTTTGGAACCCTAAATGGAACCAAGGACTAAAACCTGCGGTCCGATTCCTGGTGCCTTATTTATGACCCATACCCAGGTCTTTTGTGCGCTCGGCGCCATTGAAATGCTTGGGCTCCACTTGGCCCCCGAGTGGTTTGGGCATGTGTTTTTTAAGAAGCCCAGGGCGTACCGAACTCTGTATACCCTCCCTCCCCCCAAAAAGAAGAAGAAGAAGTAAAAGGCAAAAATCATGAGCAAAGAAAAACCAACAACAGCAAACAGAGCAAAACACACACCTGGCCAAAAGGCGGACCCGGGGTCCGCCTTTTTTGGGTTTGGTTCCGTGAGAGATGTGTGTGGGTCAAAATCCACCACAACTTGGCAGGTGTTGCTCCATGTTTTCACTTACCAGGGATCCATTTGGGCACCTGTTGACGCACAGCCAGATCTCCCCTTTCAGCGTCCTACCGTACGGACTGTAGGAGTTGGAGACGCTGCTGGAGGAGGCCAAGACATGTGCGGAGCAGCGCTTCTTCGGGCTGCTGCAGAGCCTGGCCGGCGGCGGCGTGCCGGGTCTTAGGCAGGGGGATTTGGGGGAGCGGAGGGGGAGGGATTTGGGTATGGGGCAAAAATCAATCCAGGATTGGACTGCAGGAATTTTAGGTTTCCACAGGGTGCTTGCCATGTTGGGGATTCATATTTTTGACCCACAGCCATTTGTGGTGCGGGGAGACATCCTTCGCAGGATGTGTTGGGGATGGAGGGGAGGGGAATGGAATGTATCTGAGTTGGTATGCAGAGGCGTTTCATGGGCTTGCCTACCTCCTCGTCGGATTACCTGAAGTGCCAGTTGGCTTGCCTTTTGGTTTTGGGCTTAGTCATCCCGGTGTTACACCGTTTTCTAAAACCGTGGTTTTTAGAAGCCATTCTCTAAAACATGTAAGCAATTCAATCCATTGGAATCAATCCTGTGTAGTGACCCCCTTTTAAGCTAAATTGCTGAAATAAACTCGGAAATAAACATGTTGACACCATTGAAACATCGGGATCATGTTTTTTTGAGGGTAGCCTTTTCAGGTCGCTTAAAGTGAAGCCACAAGAACATCCACCAAAACAATGTTCCAAGTCCCTCTTTTGACAGGTAATTTCCCATATTTACCAACCTTTTCCACCCATCTGGGGTGTGACTTTTTTTATGGGATCCCCATGGATTTGGCGTTTTTTTCCTGGGTGAGCCATGTTTACGGGGAATCAATTATTTTCCACCCCAACGGCGATTTTTTTTGTACTGCATTCCCGCAAGGTTTCCCGCCAACGCCCACCACTTTGGGGCGCCTGTCCGAGCCCATAGGCCCCCATTTCCCCAAAAAAAAGACCCATCTCTTTGTCCCAAAAAGCCGAAGCCACCCATGTGCGCCCCTCGCGGCGCCGTTTTTCCGCGCGGGGAGGTCGTGGCTGCAGGGCCTGGGCCTCGGAAGCCGCGCCTGGGCCGCGCTGGTCTGGGCGGAGCAGCAGGGCGCCTGCGACCTCGACGAGGCGGCGGCGGCGCGGGGCGGGGCGGGGGGTTCTTCCCCGGGCCGCTGGGGAAGTTGTTTTTTCTCACTTGGGTTCATGAGCTTGAAACACTTGTTGGGCTTGGACCATTTTTGTGGCAAGTGCACAGTTTGGGCCTTTTGTTTGAGCCATCCACTCAGCAGGTGAGAACTGTGTGCTCTTCGGTTTTTTTTGGGGGGTTGGTGCTCTGGTTCAAGACGCACCCATTCATTTAAAGGCGACCGGAAATATCTCGAGCTTTGGGCAAGGTTCCGTAAAGCTTCTTGCTCAACAGATCCAAGCTTTGGGGTCGATGGGCTGAAGTAAGCTCAGGCTAGGAGGATGAAGAGGACGAGATGGGGGACCACCCTCTGTGTGCTTGATGCCGCTTTGTCTCAAGCAATGCAAGGATAGCGGCATCCCGCCCGCAGCACATCTTGCAATGGCAAGGCGGGAATCAAGCTCAATCTTTGTTGTTGGAGATCTAACAGTTGTCCAGCAATGTTTGGTAGTCCGTCTCTCTTGATAACCTGCCCAACATTCACCAGTAGCAGCGCATGCACTGCACCGATGTTCTCCGATACACTCGTTTTTTCCCACATACATTGAGGCAAGGCGATCATGATACGGTGACGTGAGGGAAACCCGCATCCGCGATTCCGCAGAATCTCCGCTTGACAGCGTGGATTTAGAGTGACTTGGCAAAGTCGGTCTGTGTCCACCGTGACTTGCTCGCTTAGTTTGGTTGGTCCCAATCCGTGGAGACCCGGCCAATCTGAAGGCACGCGGCCCAAGCCATTCTGGTCAAAAAGCGTGCCGGCCACGTCCGCCCTGCCCGCATGTTCAGCTGGCATGGGCATTTGACAAGCGTCTGAGCCACGGTCAGGACTCTAGTTCGTCTTAGTTGTCAATATAGTCCGATCGAACCCCGTGGTTCATAAATCAAAGGGCATTGCCACTCTCTGCGGGACACGCAGCTTTGCGTTTAGGTTGTCTTCCAAATAGTTAGAGAGCTCTGCTTTGTGCTCAATGTCAAGTAGGTTGCAATCAACGCTTGGAAAACGGTTTAGTCACTTTTTCATCCTGCAGCAAGCGAGTTTCGATTCCCTGCGAGTTGGCCAAAAGGCGGTCGCCTTGGCCTTCATCTCTTGCTCGTCCTGACTTGACAGAGTGCATTGAGAGAGTGTCTACTCTGGCTTGCAGTGTTGGTTGTGAACGCGCAGCAAGTCGTCTGCGATTTCGCTCTTAAACTGAGGGACGGACACCATGACTGCATGGAACTTGGACACCGCCGCAAAGCATTTGAGTGACTTTCAGTGACTCTGCGGGATTTGGTCTTCGTGTTGCTTCGTGCTTCCGCAGGTTGCCTTTGAATTTGCAGCATCTTCACCGGAGAATCGCCACTTTGAAGCGCACAAAAATGTGCCACTGACACTGAATTGAGTGGCATGATGTCATGTCCGAGTGGCCGCCGTAGGTGTCCTTGTGGTACAAAAATAATAGTTCTTTGGTAAATGGTTCATGAAATCAGTGTAACCCCATGTGCAGTATGGAGGGCTGGGCTGGAGATCTTGCTGCGAGTCCTTGCCCATTTTTTTTTGCTTGGCCCCCAAGCTCGAAGTCAGTCAAGAGTTCGGTTCCAGTCTGGCCAGGTAAACCTTGGCATCGGTAAAAGCCATCCAGTTTTTATCCGCCTTGCCGCCTCTGGGTAGGACGGTCTCACGGCACGGGACAAGTTTTCCAACTGGACACCGCCTGAAGCGGCGGTTTTCGCCTGGCCTTCTTCGGCTGCTCTTTTCCCATGCCGAGGCTTGATTTCAAGGCGGGAGTGGCGTAGACTGAAGCGTGGCTGAGTGGTTCAGCGAGTGGTGGCTGCACGGAAAAAATACGGTCTTCCCCAAAAAGGGTTCCTTGTTTTTCTCCGGGGTCACTGAACAACTGAGATGGAGTGACGTGCAACGGCGTCTTTGCCGGAGGTTACTCAAATCGTGTCAATGCGTGTCATTTGAGCGCCGCAGGGCGATGAAACCAGGTCACTTATGTCACGAAGAGGCCACTTAATACTGCAGTGCCGTCCAACTCGTTTGAGTGGCATTCCAGTGTCGCCGCCAGCTCGTCATCAACTGTGCCCAGTTTGCTTGGATAGAGTTCAACTGTACACTCTTTAAGGTAGCCACGAAGCGCTTGTTTCCAAGTGGCGCATGTGTTAGTAGCCCACGTGGCTTTCATCTCGCAAGCGACCTGTTGAAATTCAGCGTGCCCTCCTTGGCGAACAGTAAATTAAAGTCATAAGACAAAGAGGTCACTCAAAAGGATCAGGTGTCCGTGATTTCACGCAGTTGACCGTAATTTCACTTCTTTTTAAATATTTCACGTGACGATTCCATTTTGAAGGTGGACGCTCAGAATTGCTTAAGTCGCCATACCCCCTTCCCCTGTTCATGTCTGATCCCTGCATAGTTGCGAGCCCCATCGAGCTGCAATTGACTCCAGCATCCAGGTCAGAGGCATCCGCCCTCATGTTCACACCATCAACCCCATTCTCTCGCAATTTCATGAACCAGATAGGTGTAGCCCGAGGGCTAGAAGACACCAGCCATGTCCATGTGAATTGCCGAAGCTTGGGCCCCCGCTAGCCTCGAAGAAGAGAACTAGACAGATCGTTCTTGCCTGGGCCGGTACTTCGCAAACTGGAGGAATTGGTTGAATTTATTGTCGTCCAGTTCGGTTCGGGGCATGTTCACTTGCACGCGTGTGAGACGGAGTGGCCCAATGGGGTGGACATAGAGCCTGGCGCCAGGACAGATTTGCGTCCGCCTTCCCTCGATTCTGCATGACATGGCAAGAGACAGGGCGCTTTCGATTTGGGTCGTCTCCCATATAGTTTATACCAAGGGTGCAATGCACGCAGTTCGTCCCGTGCGCCTTGTGTCTGGTCTCGGGGATAGCCTTCAGCATTGCTGCCTTGCTTGGTGAGGTTGACCCACTCTGCAGGTGGGGGGATTTGTGGCAGTCGGATTTGAACACCCGCCAACTTTAACCAGATCCCAGGGCAGCAAGCACGGTGCTCACGTCCCCAGTAGCTCCGCACAGCAGCCATGCCAGATTGGAGTGATGCCACTCCTCCGGCAGCGAGCTGTGTAGCTTTGGGGCAAGTCCAGCTTGCTATTTGCAAGAGGCCAATCGCCACCGAACACCCACTCCGGATGACTCCGGCGTCCGGTGCTGGTTGTCTTCCAAGCAGTTTTGCTAGAGTGCTATGCATAACCAGTAAGCGAATAGGTTGTGATGAGCATTGGGAATGTTGCATTGTGGCTGTGGATTGAACTTTAGCCGTCTCCGCTCTCGCGGGGCGGGGGCCTTTGGGAACGATGGGAGCGTTGTAACAAGTGCAAGAGGCTGTATGTGAAGACCATGTGTGCACGGTGCTCGTGTCTGCCGTATGTACTCGGAAGGGTGTCGGTTGAGGCTGTGGTTCTGCGCAGCAGCCATGTCAGATTCGAGTCATGCCAATCATCCGGAAGCAAGCTGTGAAGATTTGGGCAAGTGAAGCTTGCTTAAGCACTCCGGATCACTCCGGCATCCGGTCTTGGTTGTGTTCCAAGCAGTTGAGCTAGAGTGCTATGCATGACCAGTGAGCGAAGAGGTTGTGATGAGCATTGTGAATGTTGCATTGTGGCTGTGGATTGATGAACTTGAGCCGTCTCCGCTCTCGCGAGGCGGGGGCCTTTGGGAACGATGGGAGCGTTGTAACAAGTGCAAGAGGTTGAATGTGAAGACGCTGTGCTGAAACCCGTGCACGGTGCTTATGTCTGCCGTACGTACTTGGAATGGTGTCGGTCGAGACTGTGGTTCTGCACAGCAGCCATGTCAGATTGGAGACATTCCAATCCTTCGCATAGCCTCAGAAGGCTCTGGGTCCTTCTTGGAAGCGAATTTGGCCTTCCAAGCAATGCCCAGTAATGTAAAGGCCTTCCAATCGACACTTGGGGCAAGTACAGCTTGCTGTTTGCAAGAGACAAAGTGTTGCAGTAAACTCCGGCTTTGGTGCCAGCCACGACACGCCCCTGGACGGGCTTCGGTAGCCGATGCTGCGTTGCTGACATGGCTTCCAGGCTTGAGCCGATTTCCGGTGCTGCCGCCGGGTGTCGATTGAACTTGATGCGGCGGCCTTTTTGCTGCGTACAATAATATATAGCTCAAAGAACCAAAACCAACCCCAAAGATATGATCGAGTCAAGCCAATGTGTTGGCACGCGGATTGACATTCGATCAGTTGGCATGCACGGCCTCTCCGAGTTCTAGCTGTTTCCGGTTGCGCACTCAGGCTAAGTGCACCAATTGCTTGACCCGCTGACTGCACCTATCCATTTTTGCCGTTTCTGCTCTCGGGTTGTTGGGGACGATGGGAGCGTTGTAACACGTGCAAGAGGTTGAATGAGAAGACGCTGTGCTGAAACCCATGCACGGTGCTTATGTCTGCCGTATGTACTTGGAAGGGTGTCAGTCGCGACTGTGGGGTTCTGCACAGCAGCCATGTCAGATTGGAGTCATTCCCATGCTCAGGAAGCCAGCTGTGTAGCTTTGGGGCAAGTGCAGCTTGCTATTTGCAAGAGGCTAATCGCTACCGAACACCCACTCCGGATGACTCCGGCAACCGGTCTTGGTTGTGTTCCAAGCAGTTGCGCTAGAGTGCTACGCACGGTGAGCGAAGAGGTTGTGATGAGCATTGTGAATGTTGCATTGTGGCTGTGGATTGATGAACTTAGGCCCCCTCTCCGCTCTCGTGGGGCGGGGGTCGTTGGGAACGATGGGAGCGTTGTAACAAGTGCAAGAGGTTGAATGTGAAGACGCTGTGCTGAAACCCGTTCACGGTGCTTATGTCTGCCGTATGTACTTGGAATGGTGTCGGTCGAGACTGTGCTTCTGCACAGCAGCCATGTCAGATTGGAGACATTCCAATCCTTCGCATAGCCTCAGAAGGCTCTGGGTCCTTCTTGGAAGCGAATTTGGCCTTCCAAGCAATGCCAAGTAATGTAACGACATTCCAATCGACACTTGGGGCAAGTACAGCTTGCTGTTTGTAAGAGACAAAGTGTTGCAGTAAACTCCGGCTTTGGGGCCTTCCACGAGAAGCACTTGGACTGTGTGAACCGATTGCTGCGTTGCTGACATGGCTCAATCTGCATTTCTGGTGCTGCCGCCGGGCGTCCCATGAGCTTGATGTAGCGGCCTTTTTGCTGAGTACAAAAATAGCTCAAAGAACCAAAGCCAACCCCGCAGGTGAAAGGTATGATCGAGTCAAGCCAAAGCGTTGGCGCGCGGCTTGACATCTGAGTGAGACGCCCTGTAGGAATATTCGATGAGTTTACACGCACGGCCTTTCCGAGCCCTAGCTGTGTCCGGTTGCGGGCTGGTGCTTTGTGCACCAGTTGCTTGACCCGCTAACTGCGCCTTTTGTTCGAACAAAGCGATCAACCAATCATGAAGAACACATCCGGTTGCGTTGCGAGAGCAGCTTCTGGCTGTGGCATACTGCGACAAAGTTTCGACGCCTCACTGTGCTTTAGCTGTGCTCGGGCCTTCGTCGAGACCCAGATTGTGGACCTATGTCCTCGGTTTTGGCTCAAGTTCATGAGCCAGAACGGGGCGCATCAAGAGGCCCGCAAAAACAGCTAGAACCGTTCTGCCTTGGTCTTTCCTCTTGTGTGGGTCGCTTTGCCCCATTCCCCTGACTCCTGTCTCTGGGCTCCGTCTCCCTCGCAAAAGCCGGAAAACATCAACACCGCCTGAAGGATCCTTTGATACACAAAACAGTACTCCGGACAGTTTTTGGCATTCGAGCGCTTTTTTCTGCTCACATCCAATTCGAGCACTTGTTGAGGTTGCCCAGCCGCTGTGGTGAAGTGCTCGAGAGACCACGCACCCGCACCTCGCGCGTGATTTTCCGCAACTCGGGCGCAACTCTAGAAAGTGTGCAAAGCCAAAGCTCTGCCCTGCAATCCATGTGTTTGCATTTACCATTACTCGTGCGCTTGCTTGACACGAAAGCTTGAGCAAACATTTGCGTAATGGGTCCTGGCATATGCGCGTGTAAACGACCCAGCACCACTGAATAGGCCGTTGAATAGGCCCAATGGGCCCAATAGGTCCCAATAAAACGCAATGGCGCCCAAGGGGACCCAAGGCAAGGCCCAATGGGCCCAATCAGGCCTAATAGCCCTCACTGGGTTTCAGCCGAATTTCCGCAACGCAAGTTGCGGCAATGTGCTAAATCCAGGGCAGGCGTCAAGTTTGGGGAATTCATACAACGTGCACATGGCCAGCTAAGTAGTTGTTTGCGTGTCCCGGCGAAATCAGAAGTGCAAACAGTGTTTGCAGTGACTCATCAAATCCAACACTTTGAACTTTGAACCCGTGGCACTCCCTTCAGGCAGAAGCCATGTGGGGGGACACCAAGAGCCCACTAGGGAGAAAATAGGTGCCCAATAGGAAGGAATGGCGACCTTTGGCCCAAAAGGGTCCAGGAGGGCCCTTCTGGGCCCAACCTTCTTGCAGCAATGAGGCAGGACAGATTTGCTGGGTTTTCTTCGCTAGCGCTCCATTCTCGCTCATGAAAAGTGGTCATAAGGCTTTGTGTCGTTTTGTTTCGACATTCTGTTGGAATGCGGGTGGTGTCCGGGCATCCGGAAGCGACGTTGCAAGCGGTCAAAAGCGGGCTTCGGCCAAAGCACGTGGACATAGGGTTTCCAACCAATTCTTGCTCCCAAAAGGCAATTAGCCTTTTCAAATGCAACGGATGCCGCATATAGGGGTTGAAACACACTGTGTGCTACTACCCAGTACTAGCTTACTAGTTTATTTTATGCAGAATGTACCACGCCGAACGATTGCGCCAAGCTGCAAGGAACTACTCCGAAAGACATGTCATGAAACTTGGTTGTTTGGTTGCTTCAAGGTTTGGCGAATGTGACCCCTAAGCCGGTGATCAATTCATGCGTTAAGCTGAGCCTCTCGCAGGTGCCCATCAACGGTTTTGGACCGAGTCTAGCCCAGATGGGTTTGGAGAAGCGTCTGGCTAAGTGCATCCTATAGGTTTCGCTGGATGGCATCAGCCTGGCCTGGATCTACCGGCCAAAAGATCCCAGTCGGCTGGGCCGCGTCTGAGCTGTGTCTGATGTGCCAACTTGCCGTATGCGCCGCATGTCCTTTGGAGTGTAGCCGGCCAGGCTCAAGAGGCCCTGAGTGAAGGCGAGCACCGGTCCACAACTTGAGACTTTGCTTTGACCAGCTCCCTGTGCTGACTCGACGGCCTATGTGCAGCCATGCCATTGAATTGAAGGCAGTCCAATCTTCCTGACACGGGCAGTAAAGTTTGGGGCAGGTTTAGCGCGCTCCTGCCGAGAAACACAGTGCTGCACCGCTTTCGTTCTTACTTCTCTTCTAAGAAGTTGCGCAAGAGCGCTGTGCCCAGTGCTCAAGTTCGCTATGTGCGATAGGGGTTTCGGCATTGCTGACCTTGCCTGGTGAACTTGAGCTGGCGCTGCCAGCATGCAGGCGCTGGGGTTTGGGGAGATGAGAGCGGACGAGTTGTGTCAACTGCATGCGGCTGGCTGTGAAGGCCTTCTGTTGCAGCCCTTTGTGAGGTGGTTCCTTGATCTCCCTCAAGAATCAAAGGGCCAAACTCGGGGCGCAACTTGAGCTTGCTGACCAGGTCCCACCCAGCTATGGCTGACAATCGCCAGCTCTGCTTTGCCATGTCAGACTGAAGCCATGCCACTTGAGTTTCCCGAAGCGAGTGCTGAAGCCCGGGGGCAAGCGCAGCCTGTTTGCAAGAGACAAAGTTCTCCCGAACATGTGCTGCGGCTTTCGGTCTTTGCATTCCAAGTAGTTGCGTCAGCGTGCGCAGCGTAGCACTGCGCAGCGCCTTCGCTGTGAGGAGTCTAAGCGATTTCGGTGACCATTGCTGCATCGGCATGCCTTAGTGAGAACTAGTCGTTAGTGCTGCACCTGTCAGACCTGTCAGAAAGCTGGGGGTCTTGTCAGCGTCCCTGCCCTTGCGTGAACATCAGTCACTTGTACTTCAGCTGTGGGCTTCAGCTGCCTCAGTGAGAGCCTCCAAGCCACGTGCGTTTAAAATGGCTGTGCCAGCTGGTTGGGAGCAGTGGTGTGGCTGTGGAACGTGACTTCCTTCTGCTGCTTTTTTCATTGAGGCAAGTGCGGCGGCGCCCCATTTCCCTTCGAATGCTGAGCATTCTCGCATGTGGCAGGCGGAATCTTGGAATGCGCAGGCCCTGCAGCACCTGCCATGTTCCAAGAGAGTCAGAAGGAAAGTGGCTCAGGCCAAGGTGACCTTTGGAGAGACGGCAGCTGGCAAAAAAAAATCGCCGGGCACGATTGGCATGGGCTCCCCACGCGGCAATGTTGGCGCATGATTCACGATGGATAAATCCCCTCTGACTACAGACGCACGATTTTTCAAGCCGACCGCCAGCCAATGCCACTTTAAAGGCGCCCGCAAGGTTTGGCCAAAACACCTCTCTGAATAATTTGCAACGCACCTCTTTGCATTGCCATCGCCATAGTGTCAAGGGTGGCCATTCCAGAAATTACAAAAACGGCTAGCCGGAAGCAGCAAATTCATTCCGCTTTTTTTTCAACGAGGTTTGAAGGCGATGAATAACACAACCCCTCTTTGATTAACTCTGGCCCTCTCCAGCCCTAGAAGATAGACCATGCAATCTCTTTTACTTTCCCAGTCCGATTGGCCAGACAGGGGAAACGACCGGAGAGGACTGGGAGCTAGGGGGACCCTCCAAAACCTGACCTTGATGGACCTTCGCAATCATAAATTTCACGACCATAGCCCAAGGCCCTTCTTCTAGACTCTAGCGTTGCTCTGGAGATACGGGAAAGGCCATAGCTGTCCGCACCAGGGAGTCAGAATCGCCTAGCTCAGAGGCCGAGTACGCGACAAAGGCGAGGCTCGAGCCCCCTCACGGGGCCTCGAGCTGGCAGCGGAGCACACTTTTAAACAGCTCCGTTCAAGTACCCTCAGCTGACTCCGGTAGAGGCCTCGTTCGGAGACGAAAGTATTCCCTTCTCAAGTTGGTTGAAAGGGATCCCAAGGAAGCTGACCAAGAATGTGTGGGAATTGCAATATGTTTTTTGGGGACACGTACCCGCGTTAGCAAGTGATGTTCTAACTGGCGGTTTGGATTCATGGGATCCATTTACCTGCATAGCAGGCATAACGAAGGGAGCCGCCCGAGATAAAGGCCAAGCTGAACATGACTGGTGACCTGTTCGTGGCTTGCAACTGGGATCCCGACATTTTCCAGTTGCTGAGTATTTGTTGTTGTCCCTTGTTGGCTTCAGAGGGAATCTAATGACTACTGGAGACACATTTTTCCCAGGCTCAAATGAAAGACCAGCAAGGCTGGTGGACGTCCACTCCACGTCCGGGACGTCCGAAGCTTTCGCCTCAGGTGCTGGAGAACTCCGAGGACTTGGCCCAGGCGCTGCAACTCAGCGGGGAGGACACGAGCGAACGAGCGCTCGGGATGCGATCGGGCCATCGGCGCGAGAGTCGCTGTGGCCTAGGTGTCTACAGCTGAAGATATGAGCCCAATTGAACCCATTTTTGAGAACCCTGTCTCCTAGCTCATTGCTCAGATAACCAGTCATGACTTAATTCTGGGCGATCGGCCGCAGGGGGACAATCATCCTTTCAACCTGCCAGTGGTCGTAGTTAGGTTGTGGATTGGGATATGGTTGTGGACACTTGGGCTTTATTCCGATTGTTTTAAAACTGATAAGTTAGCCAGAAAAGGAATCCCATTTTGGTCTCACAGAAAGGGTTATAGGTTGTATTCCACAGCCCTGCATGAGGCTTTGACCGCGCAACTTCTTTAGCACATGCTGTTGCATGCAGAGCAACCCCCCCCCAAGAAAACCCACTTGACAGAGGCAATCTTAGAGAAAGAAAGGGAGTCACTGCAGCCAACCAGTGAGGCCTGGCCGAGACCAATGAATCCCGGTCAAAGAATGCCAAGTGCTTCCAGTCACCAGTCACCATAGAAGGCCAAGGGAAGACATCTTGTGAACCTAGAGATGGCAAGGGAGGCTGCAAGCCGTCTTCTCACTTGCCCAAACCTGAGCAGGGATTGTCTTTGGTCGTACCACATTTAATGGCAGCCCGAAAGGTCCAGTTGCTCCAAAGCGTTGCGTAGTATTCGTATAGTGGGTCCATGTTCTCCTTTTACGAGCCAAGTCTGTAATATTATGCAATCGGGCCCAATGTTCCCGCAAACGAAACCATCCATGGTGAAGCCTAGAGTGGTTAATTACGAAGTTTGTTCCAAGGCTTGACCACTATGTTTGAACTATCTTTCTTCATGTAATTTGTTTGCCAGCTTTCTGTCTCCAGACAGTAGAGTTGCCTGACAGGCAAGTGGGGCTGTCTTAAAGTTGGAAGCCTCCAAAATTTGTTTTGGCACCCTCTAAAACTTGCTGGCTCTCAGGGAATTTTCGTTTTGGGGGGGGGGAATTTTTGGGCCTGTGAGCCCCCCAAAATTCCCTTTCGGTTCATTCCCAAACCCTCGGATTCCCCAAACGCGGCTGAAAGGAGCTCGCAGCCTTCCTGTCGCAGAACGCCACAAGCCACGCGGAGAGCCAGCCCCGCGGGCTGCTTGGCGCAGAACACGAGGAGCTCATGAGGTTCCTGTTGCGGGAGGCGGGATCAAGCCCTTGCCCAGTGGACTCCGGCCTTTCTCCTTCCTTTTTTTGGGGTAATGTTGACCTATGATTAATAAATAGGGCCCCCCCCCCCTGAACGACCATACCCCCCCCTGAATGACCATAAATAAAGATTAGGGGAGAATCTTCAGGGTCGGGCCTTGTTTAAAGTTTAAAGGAGTTTAGTATTGGGCTCAGATTTTTTGGTTTTCGAATACTACTTTAGAATTGGGCCAATTCAAAAGTAGTATTGGGCATGTTGTTTTTTTCTTATTTTGCTTTGGGGGAATACTAGTTTAGAATTGGGCAAATTCTAAAGTAATATTGGGCATGTTGTTTTTTTCTTATTTTGCTTTGGGGGAATACTAGTTTAGAATTGGGCCAATTCTAAAGTAGTATTGGGCATGTTGTTTTTTTCTTATTTTGCTTTGGGGGAATACTAGTTTAGAATTGGGCCAATTCTAAAGTAGTATTGGGCATGTTGTTTTTTTCTTATTTTGCTTTGGGGGAATACTCGTTTAGAATTGGGCCAATTCTAAAGTAGTATTGAGCCAATAACTTTTGGTTATTCCAGGAAGAATCTGGTTAGCATTATTCATGGTCTGGTTATTATTTAGTGCCTCAGGGTTCATGGGGGGTACCCTTGCTGCCAGGGTCAATGTGTTGATTTTGATGGTTTTTTAAAAGGAATTTTAAAAGAAAGGGATCCCATAAGTTTGTGGATTTGGGATACATCTAGAATCAAGTGTGGGATGAGCCAAGTGGAATGGAAAGCTTGACCATGAATAAAGATAAGGGGATCAGATATTTTTTGATGGGGGAATCTTGTTAGCATTATTCATGGTCTGGTTATGATTTAGTGCCTCAGGGTTCATGGGGGGTACTCTTGCTGCCAGGGTCAATGTGTTGATTTTGATGGTTTTTTAAAAGGAATTTTAAAGAAAGGGTCAAGTGTGGGATGAGCCAAGTGGAATCGAAAGCTTGACCATGAATAAAGATAAGGGGATCAGATATTCTTTTTGATGGGGGAATCTTGTTAGCATTATTCATGGTCTGGTTTTTTTTAGTGCCTCAGGGTTCATGGGGGGTACCCTTGCTGCCAGGGTCAATGTGTTGGTTTTGATGGTTTTTGTAAAAGGAATTGTAAAAAGAAAGGGATGCCTGGCATGACCCTATTTAAATTCACTATGAAACCATGCAAATTCCATGGGGGATGAGGGTTGGGAGCACTGACCTTCAATAAAAATCTGCTTTTTGCATGGATCCCAATGGGAACTCTAGGTTCTTTTGTGAGCTGGGGAACTCAGGATTCATTCATTCATGTGGGGGGAAGGTTTTTTTTGAATTACTTTATATTATTTTGTATTTTTTTAATTTTTTCCCTGGAAAAACGGTTAGCATTATTCATGGTATATTTATCATTTTTTCGGGAAATCGGTTAGTTTTTTTATGGACTATTTACTAATCGTAGGTCAACATCAAGGGTTCCCCTTTAAACTCAACCCACAAAAAAATTGGTGCCTTTTTTCCCCATGGCCACTGGGCATCTGAGAAGCCGTGCCCATGGTTTATGGTGGGGATGAGACTGGGCAAGCCCCAAAATACCGTGAAGAAGCTGGGAGGCTACTCAAACCCCCCTCCCCCCCAAAAGAAAAATCCAATGTCATTGCGGCAATGAATCGTTGTTGTACGTCCCATGGCAGTCTCCCAGATCCCACTTGGAACATACCTTCAGCAGTGCCTTTCCAAGAAAAGACTCCTGCTGTTTTCCCATTGTTTGTGTGTCCCATTTGGACACACACCCCTTGCTTCCCAGGTGTGCATGTCCCTTGATGAGTTTAAACATCACCTTCGTGACCACGTGAATTCCCCTTACAGATGACAGGTGGTCGGGTCCAAAAACTCCGACGGCCACGTGTGCCAGGGCCGCTCAAACGCGGCCGTCGAAGCCTTCACCAACTTCGACGCCCGACTTTCCGCGGCGGGCACCGGCCTTTCGCGGGAGAAAATCGAAGGGCTCGAGGCGCTCCTGGCCAGCGAGGTGCAGGACACTCGAAAAGTCAACCGGTCATTGGGCTTGGGGCCTATGGCGTCCTTCCCTACGGATGTTTCCAATATTGCTGGACCCGCTTGTCATATTTGGAGAGCAAACAAAAGCAACTCAAGCGTTTTAGGCGCCCAGATGTGTGTTCCTCTTTCTGGGGGTGTGGGGTTTGGGGTCGTTCTGTTTTTGTGGGTGACGGTTCCATTGGCTCCCCTAAACGGGTCGATCTCTGGTTTCCGCTTGTCAGGCCGCTAGGCCGGGGGTGAGAAGGAGTCCCAAATCGCGCAGTTGGATTTGTAGCGGATTCTGGGAATTTTGGATTCCAATTCAGAGAACCGTGGCAACAACATTGGCAGCTTGTAAATAATGGACAAGAAAAGGAGAAACACGGAGATTTGAAAGTAGAAGGTGGGCGGGACATTTTAAGACGGTTCTGACAAGTTTGTTTTTAACAGCTTATTGCCTCAAAGTGTATGGGGTTCCGCCTGACTTGGTTTAGCTTAACGAGGGGTTCCCGGGGTTACATGGGACATAGGATATATATATATATACATGTATACATATATATATATATATATATATATATTTGTCTATCGGTGTCCTCTATGGTAATGGTGCTCGTGTGGCCCTGGATCTAGTTCAGTAGGATCCTATTGATGTACACCGAATGGATGTACTGACCAATGGACGTCTCTGGCTAATAGATCTGTAAAAAACTGTGAAGCCTGGGAGCATGCCGCAAGGGGTTTTATCTCTAGCGCACTGTCTGCATCAATGTGGTGAGAAAGGAAGGCCCTTGAGCCAAATGATTGCGTAGAGGTCAAGGTGTTAACAGGAAGCAATGCAAAACAGACGCAAATGTCTTCTGACCTCCAGCATCAAATTACACAATGTATATATATATACAGCCTTATGCCATACTAGGTTGGTTGGGTGAACTTAGGGTCAACTTGCCCTACTTATAAGTTACTCAACTTCAACTTATGTTATAAGTCGGTTATAAGTTACTTACAACCAGCTTAGACCAAGGTTATAAGTAGGACCTAAGTCGGCTTTTTGTTTGGCGTTTTTCTGTTTTAGAGGGTGGGCCTGTTTTCCAGGGGTCTCTGAAAGAGCCTGTTCATCAAAACCGGGAGGATTTTTTGCCTCTTTTGCATTATATGCGTGCGTCGAATTTCCAGCGCGATTGCAGGTATCGCCGTGCAAGATATTCTGGTGCAAGCAAATTACAGCGGCGCCGTCGTGACGCCACGCCGCAGGCTTGAAGCAAGTGGACACAGGACGGGTGGGGGCATGCTCCTCGCGGTCTAGCTGTGTCCAAGTTGTGCCCCAGGGCTGCTGCGCGCGGCCCGCGCGGCAGGCCAGCGGAGTCAGCGCGAGGTGGACCTCCTGCAACAACGCACTGTGCGACGCAGCTTTGTTGCGTTTCTGACGAGAGCAGAACTTCGCCAGTCCGGACCCGCCCTTGCGCGCCTTCTGCGGAGGGCGGCCGCATGAGCGAGCTGTCGCCCAGCTCCGCGCAGAGCCGCGCGGAGGCTGGGGGGAGCAGGCGCCACCCCGCAGTCATGCTACTTTGCGTGGCACTCCGGGGCAAACCCTAAAGCGCCGATGCGGCGTGGTGCTTGGGCTTCACTTTGTGTGCGCCCCAAGCGTGGTAAAAGGCTTCCATGTGGAGACTCTGCGTGGCCTCTAGACACTGCGCGTCTCTACGGGTCAAAACGCGGTTAACTTGCAGCTTCCGCAGCTCTCCGCAACACCCGCAGCTCTCCGCTGCACAGCTTTAGCAGGGAGAAGCTGCGGAGCAAGATTCAGCATTGCCATCATCTTTGAGAAGCGCGATCAAGTGGTAGAAGAGCAAAAAGACCAGAGGCCTTGTTTGATTCCCATTACCCTTGAAGAGACCTGGTGCCCACATTTTTCGTTGAAGATCGCCTTTTCATCCAGCACGTGGGGCGGTCTCGTTTGGCCGCTACTTGGAGGTTAACAAGCACCTGATGCGCGGTCCATGATCAAACATGCAGAAAACTCAACAAGATCAACAGAAGGTTTGGGAGAAGCGTAAGCGCTGAATGCTAAGTGCCGAATTCGTTGCATCGATTGTACGATATCAGCTGAAGCACAGGAGATGCTTTATCATCAAAAATCCTCGGACATCCAGGATCTCGTACTTTACATTGCGTACAGCAATTGTTCTCAGATCCACCCGTGACCTGGGTTCTGCGCATATGGACTGAGAGATGCTGAATCCGGGCTCAGAAGCGTAAAGCCCACAAGCTTAATGCATTGCCTACCTCCTGAAGATGAGACCAACCTTCAGAAATTTTCAGAACTCCACCAGCTCGGTGAACATGAACATCAACCACTTGAAGGCAATGCGGGCATCTTCGGAAGCAGCTGGTACGGGTATACCGCGACGCTTGAAGGTGAAGCCGCTCAAGCGTGAGGCGCGCCTTCTAAACAACATCTCTGAGCCATTCACCAACCGAGAAGCTCAGAACATTGTGTGTGTCATCCACGCAGTCTGACCAGCGCGCAGACGAACAGAAGAAGTCTTGCCTGCGTCCAAGTGCAATTCTCAGATGCGGCCATTGCGCCGATGCCCATCAAGATAGATCCACCGGATCCCCCGCATGAACAACGTCCCATGTCCAAGACTGCAAGTCCACCTGACCACCACATGTCGGATCCACCTCTGGATCCCACGGACACGCCTGACCAACCCGCCTCACGACAAGCCTCGCGGGAATCCCGGCAACCAGCAACAAAGGTTCCTCAAGTGGACTCAACCGACTGGGGGGCAATGTCTCTTTGCCATCTCAGCCGCGCCCATGTCAGCCGACTCTACCGACTGTTGAGGTGCCACCACCAGTAACGAGAACGAAGACAACGATGAAGAGCTTGAACTGCCGCAACTTGGGCATGAAGAAACAACTCCACCAATGCAGAGCAGCCCAGAAGACTGGGAGGAAGCCAGATCGTCAATCACCTGCAAGTCTTCACCCAGGAATGAACCTGCCTCTTCATCCAATGTCAATCCAAACAATCCAGTTCATTTGCCGATAGAATGTGAGAGTGAGGGTGAACTCGTTCCTCCCACACCAACATCGTCAGGCGCTGGAAGTTGACAGAGAACCATGAGATACACTGTTCAAGAAGACGAAAGATTCTCAGAGGACAGGGGCATACGACGATCAGGAAGCTGACCTTGTGCTTGACGAGGCACACTCAACCTACATGATTGCTGATTAGAAGGTTCTCAGCCACAGTTCCGAGAGGCGTTGAAGGGAACCCTGTTCACCTCAGAAAGGCAAAAAGGTACCTTCAAACCAGCATGGTGGCTATGCAAGCACATGGCGGACGACAACCGTGCGCTTCTAGTCTTGCACCCATCCAAGCACGAACGTTTAAAGGCCTCTACGACATCCGCATTGATTGGGAAGAAGCGAAAGGAACCAACAGCCACTGACAAGAGCTTATCAGAAGCAATTCGCTGAAGCAAAGCGTCTAGAGCGCCAATCTTGGCTTGACAACGAAGTGTTCGATTTAGTCGATAATCAAAGTCAGGAACTGTGTTACTGGTCGTCGAGATAAAGACGGGGAACTTCGTGAAGACCAAGGCTCCCTGGGCATGCAAAGGCCGCAGAGCGCAAGCCGGGTCACACAATTCATGCTCCAAGAGTACAGGCCATGGTCCGTTAGACACACTCCCTGCACAAAACCAAGCAAGCCAAGCCCACGCCCAAACTGTTCTTCAACGCGTGCCGACTTGCAACGATGCATCCTTCGAGGTAAGACACGCAGACTTTCCGTGCTCAAATCTGCATTTTGCAAGGACACTGCTGCGTTTCTCAATCTCGCACTAGGTGAAACTTGCGCCTGCGTGGAAGGCACAGACGTTCTCCTAGCTGCGCGAAGCATGTGAACATGCTGAAGGTGGCAAACGCACTCAGCCAAAATAGCGTAAGTGGCCCAACTCAGTTACACAAGTGTGCTACCCACAATGGGCCACTTGCACATCTAGGCTGTTACTTACTTATAAGCGGGGAGCAATTATATCGCATAGCAAGTGGCTCGGTGCAGTTGCAGTTTACTTTATATACACCGTTCATAACTACAGTTGCAATGAATGCGACATGGTTGTAACTCATGATACGACAAATTCGTAAATGATCTAACCGGCTTAAAGTCTTACTATGCAGGGTGAGCCTTCAAGCAGGAGTTCCAAACTTGGGACCTGCAAGTGCGCAGCGTTGGCTGAGTCTTGCACTTCCTGCAAAAGTCTCGAGAGCATGGACTTTGTCTTTGCGTGCAGTTCCAATGTGCCTGCTTAGGACTGGATGTGAGATCCTCCACAAACATGTTCTCTGCCGGTTTTGGTGCTGCGGGCTTAGGAGTTGTTTTCCAGTCTATGCGCAATGGCCGTGAGACTGATGGCGTAGGGGCCGCAAGGACACTTCCTTGGGATAACGAATCTTGGATTTGCCTTCCTGCTAGTAGAACACCTTGTTTTTCACCTGAAGAGCCTTGGGGCTCATTCGGAGATTCTGAGCAAGGTCTTTCCGGATGTCTTCGGATTGGCGAGGTTCTTGGAATGCTTGCTTGAGCTGTGTGATCTGGATTGCTGTCAGCTCTGTCTCCTGTCGGTCGTCAATTGCGTGGGTGGTGCGTCATCAAGCTGGACAAGATCTGCTGGTCGTCTTCCGAATGCGAGTTCCAGGTGTTACACCCCCGTAGGTGACAGTTTGGTTCTTGACAGTTTCAGCAGCCTTGACAAGTTGTCTGTATGTGACCTTTTTGAGGGACTGTTTTGAGGGAGGCGTGTGATGTTCCTACCTTGGTGGAGTTGAGCATGATCTTGAGTTGCGTGTTGAAAATTCGTACTGCTGCTTCGGCTTCAGTGTATTTTGGTCCCAACGAGATCGGGCTGATGCCGAGGTCTGCGACAACTGATTTGGGCTGCAAGTGATACTGGTACCCGGGTCAAAGTAGTTCCCGAGGACAGTGATGTTCTCGGCCTCTAGTATTCACAGCTGTTGCAGTGAGCAATGTTGTTGCTCCATCCAGGATGATAAAAAACAATGATGTGTTCTCCGGCTCCAAAATATACCTGGCAGTGAGCAATGAATGTCACGTTTTCAAATGTACCCGCTCGAAGCCCACTCGTTTTGCCTTTGGACGGTGCTTGTTTTGCTGCTTGGCAAGCTTTGCTCTCACTACGAATCTTTTCAACCAGAGCGTAAATCGACTTTGGTGTCTGAGGCGCACGAGTCCTAAATTGAAATTGCTCGGTATTCATGTGATGATGCTGGAGGTGGAGCTTCGTCAACTCTTCCGGCTTGAGCAATCGCTCATGGGCTCTGCTTAAACAAAGCAGAAGCCATATTGGCTCATCTGGGAATGGCGCACAAGGATCTGGCTCAATGGTCAACCGGCCTTTCTGTCGATGATCCTGTCTGCAGCAGATCCTGAACCTGCTTCTTCTGAACTTGCTTCTTTTAGCGATTAGTCGGAGTAAGTGAAGATGGTCTTACCTTTGTACAGGTTCACCGTTAGTTTGTTTGTTTGCATGGGATGTAAGTCTCCAATTGTCGTCAAGGAGGTCTGGTTCTCCGCCTCTGCATGCATCAACTATCTGAGTGGCACGTTCTCGGCTGATGTTGTCAGGACCAATTAAGCATTCCTAAGCTCCTGATGGCGTGAACAATGCCTTTCGAGGCGTGATGTGAACACGAGTAAGCTGCTTGTTCTTCTTGTCAAGTATCCAATGACCCTGCTTCTGAGATCCGGTTAGCTTCAGAGTTGCGGTGTCCTTTTTTGTCTCGAGTGACTTGGATGCGCAAAAAATCTCATCCTTGGATGGTTCCGGATGTGGGACTTGATGCTGTCATCGTCGTCATATACATAGTTGTTGGGGACCTTACCAGCAATTTTTCCGTGGAGCTTCAGTTCTGCCACTCCAACAAGGAGTGTTGTCGCAAGAAGAGCACTTGGCACCATGGAGACCAGAAGAAGCACAACAACAAGGCCAACGACTATTACCAGGAGCCCAAGTACGAGCGAGTGGCAATACTGAAAGTGCAAAATAGGCCTCCTACAGCAGCACGGAATCCAAATTCGACACAGAAGAAAACGGCGCCACGACGTGCCGGATCAGTCGATATCCTCACTGAGGCAGTTCCATTGATCATCGACGACAAGATTATTCTTATTGCGATGTCACCCTCTTCGTCTTTTTGACTGTTTTTTATGCAGCGAGAGAATCGATAGTTTCACACAGGACAATCCTGTCCTTCGCTTTCCAACAGGCATCAAGAAGATGCCACATTTCCCAGACTTGGCCTGCAGAAGCTGCCTGCAGCAGCACTCTGCAACAGCGCCCAGCAACAGCACCCAGCACCCTGTGCAACTCGGAGTCTCGGCCTACAACAGCCTGCAGCAGCACCACCCTGCACAACTCTGAGACTTGGCCTGCAGAAGCTACCTGGCGCACTCTGCAATGCTGGCGGAGGGTGCTGCTGCCGCAGGGTGCTGTTGCGCGCTGACTCGGGCAGTGGGAGGTAGCTGCAGGTCGAAGCTCGGAACTGCGCAGGGTGTTGGTCAGCGCCCTGCAAAGCAGCACTTGGCCGGAATTCTGAGTCTCACCCACCCCTGCTTGAATTGAAGTTAGAACTCCTATAGCTTGCAGCTATCTGGGGAATAGTTCCCTTTCAGTTCTCATTGAAACCTTACTTGGAAAGGAATTCCCACTGGGATTTAAAATTCTAAGAACTCCGATTGAACTCTAATGAACGTCCGACTCACACTGAAAGCCTTGCAAATTTCAAACTTGCCAACAAATATGCTCTTTTCGGTTTTTTTAACCCCTTTTAAGTTTATTGTCGCAGGCCTCTAGCTGGGAGGTTCCCCCGTGTTGCATTTGTTTGGAGTGGGTTTCTCTTTTCCTCCACCTATCACGAGACGCCCGTTGAAATCAAGAGGTCCGAGGTGTTTTTTTCGAGCGCTCTCTATAACTCCTTGGCTTTGGGACCGCCCTGAGCAATGGAAAGAAAGGATGCAGGTTTTTTTTGAGGGCGCTTGTTTTTTCCCCCAAGGAACAAACAAGGAAACCACACTTTTAGGGGTCCAACCCTAAAAGGATACCCCAATGTGTGTTTGTGTGTGTCTGCGTGTGTGCGCATTTTCGTTTCAAACTCACTTCCCAAAGTTTTCCCACAGCACGAATACCAAGGGAGAGGGATCAATCCTTACACCTTATGCCAGATGGGTGCGTCTTCTACGGGGGGTCCAACAATGGTTGTTTTCCTGTTGGTTCCCCGTGAAAAGCAACTAAAGAAGGGGGCCCTCACCGACCCAGATGTTCGTGGTTTCCCTTGCTCCCGTGGTGTCCATTCAAAACTTCTGGATTCCAAGATTTAGGGGTCATTCCCTCATTCGCTGCTCAGCACAGGCAAGTTCAGACAAGTCCCGTTTTGCGCAAGCCTAGGAGAGGTTCAAGGGGGACTTGCAGTACCTACGAGCCATGAGGCGGGTCTTGCCTTTGGCCTTAAATCATTAGGTTCGCGAAATGGGTGTGTCTTTTTTGAGGCTCGGTATTATTGTTGGGGATACTAAAAGAACAAGCGTTTTGCCATTTTGGGGGCCCCAAAAAGACACCCAATTTGCGTTCTTGGACGTACCCCTCCCTTTTCATGTTTTTTGCACCTCCCATTTTTCATCATGCGGTTTGGGTTGGTGGTTTGGGTTTGGATTTCAACCCCTGTTTAAACGCAGAGGCTACATGAAAAGCCACCAAGCAACAACCAAACCAATCCAATCCAAATCTCCAATTGGGAAGTAAGTGTGGTGGTTGAAAGCTTGGATGTTAGGGGACACCTATCCGGCATCACCTAGCCTCCAAAGCGCCGCTTAGCGACCGCTTGTTTGGGGGAAGCGACGCTAGGCGCTACTACGGCTGCCTCTTCCCGAGCCTACCCTCCCTGGACGAAGGACGCGGAGTGAGACGAAACGGGCCACTGCGGGTCTCCTCCAAATGAATATGACACCTGATTTTCCGGACAGGTGCGAAAACGGTAGGGAAGTGGAATGAACTGTTTTGGTGTCCCCGAAGAAAGGCGACAACAACAGTTCAGTGGTTTTTATTTGCAATTCCATGTCTCATTC